TCGTTTCGGAAAAATTCGCGAAGATACCGTCAGTTGGTTCAATCAGAAGTTTCCTCAATTCTTCCAAATTTACCAATCTTTCTAAACCTACTACATCATTAAGAACCAATCCCGATGAAGTACGTCCGAAATGTGCAGCTGTCCAAATTACAAAAATTGCTGATTTTGAAAAATCCGACCTTATTCTCAATTACAAGCAGCTAGTTGGGGAATATACAGAAAAAATTAAAGTTGATAGTTGGAACTGAATTCCATGAGAGAGAGAGTTAAATTCAAAATAACTTCCCAAGATGTAATATTGAATGAGTTGCAGGTATAAGTGATAATAAGTTGGGATTCAATGATTTGAAATGGAATATTCTTTACCTAGATAGCATCTTGTCTGGTAATTCGTCAACTTGAATGGTCGATGTAAAATGGGATTTTATCTAAGGAACTGTATAATACCTGACATGTTACCTGGGTCCATTGTTCCAAGCTCTTTTTTTCATTGAACTTCGATTATTTCAAAGCCAGGAATCGACGTTACGTTAAGCAGAGTTAGGGGTAACGTATGTATCAATGTTTGTCTGTCGTCGTGGTCGCTAATCGAGAGTAGGACCTTTCGGATCATGGCGACGCGATGTTGCATTTCTTTCACCATGGCTTGTTATAGAGCCGGCAGTGCTCAAACCCATTCTCTTGCAACTCCCACAGGTGTCTCCGTTGCCTTCGGTGGCAGGTACCTCCACATCTCCCATTCAGTCCCCCACGCCCAGCATGCGTCGAATAAGCAGCGCCCTGTTGCATCCTGACCACGCCAGACTCCTGAGGCTGCATCCTACCACTTCACCGACGCACAGCTCGACAGAAGATCTATCAGAATCCCCCACCAACAATCACGTGATGTCGCCTTCGTCTTCTACTACCTCTTCGCTCACCTCCATAGCTGCCGCTGTGGCAGTCAGCGCATCCAGAGGTAGCGACAGCTCGGATAGTCGGAGAAGATCCAGCACAATGACTGCCAGGTAGGGCTGGGACGATTCAAATCTCCAAATGAAAATTTCACACCTTACATTCTCGACCAATCAAATGCCTGTATTCGGTGTCGTTACCATAGTAGCTAAACAAATTTCAGAAATAAATCCGCGTCCTTGGGGACCAACGACTTTTATTTTATCATTAAATGAAAATAAATGTCATTGTCATGAAAATCGTCAAAAATCGATCAAACTCTGTTAGTTTTGTATGCCTATGAAATGGGAAATATAGAAGAAAGCTAGCTCTTCCAAAGGTCATTCCAATGATGAACAAATGTATGAGTTGTTCTATCGTCGTGTATTGTTTTTGGCTGATGGAGCTGTTCTAATTGACTTTGGAGAGGCCCCATCACAGGACTCAACAGCAACAATAATATTGAAAAGGAATATTCTCAGATAAATTTATGAACACTCAAAAATGGATATGTATATAAAGAAATACATTGAGAATTCGTATTCTCCATGTGATGAAAATATTAATGACTTCACTCAAGTAAAACTCATTTCGGATATCACATCCTCATCAGTAACCTGAAGTCCAGTTATTCTTTCAGTCATTCTTCATAATATACACAATGTTCATCTCCCTATAATATAAATAAAACTATAACCTATGGTAAAAGTCCATGGTATCTCGACATCTGAGAATTATAATTTGTTGACATAACCACTACCATCTGGGCAGTTGTTTTTGGATGTATGATAAATTGATATTCATCATACAGAATTCTCGATGTATTTCTTTATATAAATATCCATTTTTTGTGTTCATAAATATATCTGAAAATATTCCTTTTCAATAGACCTCAATCGCAGATTCGTGATTAGGTTTTCTCAATTCAAAATTTCTTTCCACGTCCTATATAATGAATATCAATTCATCATACATCCAAAGACATCCCTATCTTGGACACAGTGTATTTCTCCAAAATTCCGAGTGGAATTTCATTCCATAACTAATAGTGAAATTTTCCCAACCCTATTGCCAGGTACTCTATCTTCGATGCCTTGGACCTTGAGTACGCCCTGCTCAGAGCAGCTGCTAGAGGCAGCGTGGGACCTTATTCGCTGAGCGAGAGCCTGCACAAGCTGACCTTCACGCAAAGCCTGGCCTTCCCCGCGCTAGCCAGAGGCTTGGCAGGAAAGCGGAGTAGATCGCAGCAGTGCAACAATCGGAGACCCTTGGACCCGAACGAGAGTGGGCTGAACACTTGTGCGAAGCTAGTGACTGCTTTGGTGTTGGTGCTAATCAGCGTGTTGGTTTTCGCTGTGGTGTACAAGTTCGTGAGGACGTGAGGGTTGCTTTTGGCTCCGATTGGGGCTAAGCAAGGTGGTTTCACGTTGAGGAATTCTAGTGAGCTGGTAGGCAATGCAAGGAATGTAGAGGAGGTTACGTAGGGTTAGGGGTTTTTAAGATCGTTATGAAACGACACGGCTCAAGCTGGACTAGGGAACATGTCTCTTGATATAATAATATATCCTCAAATCACATCTGATGGGATCTTGCTAACTATAAAAGGTATTTCATTTGCTATTATGATATGTTTTTGTAATTAGTGGCATCTGACATCAGAATTAGAAATCAAATTAAATGAAGATGTTATGTTGGCATTATTGATATTGAGCCAATTAAGACACATTTTGTCTCCATTAATTATTGAATAACATTTTATGCAATATGATGTTGACTGATTGTACGTCAATATTCTATTACGTCATGTTTTCTACTGTCTTCAATGCTTTTTCAACTCATATATTCATGTTCACCAATATTCCGAACGAAACCCTAATTACATATTGTATTTTTGAATTGACTGTACAGTGTGTCCAGTTTTCGATGCTTTTGCGTGATATCTCAGTTATCTTTCGAGATAGAACCTTGCGGTTTTCGCGGTCCTGTACCACTTTTCAATAAAACTCAAGATGGTCTAATCAGATTTTGCATAACTGTTTGCGTTTATGAGATACAGGGCGATTTTGAAAATTTATACTTTTTGGACCCCCTCTATATCTACAAAGTTTATCAGCGAAAATGTCAAATTAGAATCTTATCCCATAGAGAATTTTGCGCAGAATTCAGTGGCGCACTCAATTTTTTTTCTGGGTATGGTTTCGGAGATACGACTCAAACTTATGATTTTTCAAATGGAACACCCTGTATTTCATGAGCTCATTAAATTTCTTATTTTCCTCCCATCCAAATGAAATATGATGAATAGGTATAAAATTTTCAAAAATGCTCCAATATCACTAAAACATTGAATTTTAATAGTGGGCTATGGATTTTTCATTTGAAAAAAGTTCCAATTGAAGGAATATTTCATTTGATTTTTCCATGAAAAGGACAAAGACAATCCCAACATTAGTTGATTGATTGACAAAAATTAGGTACCTAATAGCAACAAATAAATGGTAATAAAAAGTTCATATACTAGAATAAGCACCTGATTTAATATTCACTAAGACAATTGAATTTAGAAAGTAATCATTAACTTATTCATTGAATTGTTCAAATTGATGTCCACTTTCCCTCACACGCTTTCTCAATACGTCTTAATGCATTCAAAATCATTGAAGGATGTCTTTGTAATTCCTGGAAAACTGCCTCTGTTGTTGCACGAAGTTCTTCAAGATATTTGTGACTCTTACTGTATCAATACGTATTGAGAAACTGTGTCAATTGTGTGTTATGGGAAATGGACATCAATTTGAACAATTCAGTGAATAAGTTATTGAATAATTCCGAAATTCAATTGTCTTTGTAAATATTTAATCTGGTGCTTATTCTACATTATGAACTTTTTATTACTATTTATTTGTTGCTATCAGGTACATGATTTTTGTGTTTTCTCAGTTAATTAGTGTTGGTATTGTTTTTGTCCACTTTATGAAAAAATCAGAATGAATATTCCTTCAATTGGATTTTTTTATAAGAAAAATCCATAGCCCACTATTAAAATTCAATGTTTCAGTGATTTTAGAGCATTTTTGAAAATTTCATATACATACATTATAAATTATTTTGAAGAGAAAAAAATTAGGAATTTTATGAGCTTATAAAATACAGGGTGATCCATTTAAAAAATCATAAGTTTGAGTCATATCTCCAAAGCCATACCCCGAAAAAATATGTTGAGTGTGCCACTGGATTCTGCGTAAACTTTCATAGGGGATGAGATTCAAATCTGACATTTTTGCTGAGAAATTTCGTAGATATAGAGGGGGTCCAAAAAGTATAAATTTCCAAAATCGCCCTGTATCTCATGAATGGAAACAGTTATGCAAAATCTGATTAGGCCATCTTGAGTTTCACAAAAAAGGGGCACACGACCGCGAAACCCGCAAGGTTCTATCTCGAAAGCTAACTGAGATATCACACAAAAGCATCGAAAACTGGACACACTGTACTGTTGGTATAACTTTCAATTTCTATTCTGCAAACGACCTATTTCTGATTCCAAAATAGCACATGTTGGCAATGTTATTATTTTGATGAGTGCAATCAAATCAACAATCAGGCTCATACATAAAAAATTCGTTCTTCCACAGAAGATTGTTCTACTTATTCACGAATTCTATCATTGAGTCTCAATAACTGTGATAATATCAAATGAAATGTCTTTTATACTTCAGTTGATAAAGTCATGAATGACCTGAAATACTCGAGGTATATTATCTTCTTTGAAACTCTTTTGATGTACTTCTTTTATAATTCTTTGAATTTCAAGATTGAAAGGTATCTTCAAAGAACTATACAGGATGATTTGATATGTTAAACATGAGAAACCATTGAAAGTTTAGAGTTACAGGCAACGAACATGATTTTATTTCAATTCATCGATTTTATATCTGAATCATCCTGTAGAGTACAATTTGTTTCTAAGATATATTGAATTTATGAAAAATTATTATATTACTGTTGATAATAAAATTACAACACCGTGTTTGATGTTTTTTTCAAGAAAAATCTAACCGAATCTTTGTCTCATGAATTTTATTTTCCATCAATTTCATTTAATAAAAGCTACAGTTTTATTAAGATTATTCCAACAAAAACACATCGAATGGAATGGTCAATTAAATCATGAGTTGTTTTCATGAATTTAAATATAAACAATAACACTTCAGCAAACCTAATTGTCTTTGACATCTCATCTAACAAATTATATATCTTACAAAAATATTTAGGCCTTACTAACAATTATTTCGTGATATTTTACATTAATGTATGCTTCTCAAGCTGCAAAATGAATTAAAATTCAAATCGAGAATTGACATTGATTCTCCATTAGTGATCATGTTACATTCAAACAAACAACCCTGCCTCATTTTAGGTACATTTTCGATATGTCAAAAAGATTTCAGTTTCATTAACTCAGCATGTTAAAATATATTTTTGGTTATATGGATTCAAAAATTGGATCTGAAGAAAAAAATGCTATGCTAAACACTATACATTAATGATTGTTATACTCATTGTTACATAGTCTAAACATTTACTGTGTAGAGATAAAACGTAATGAAGTTATTTAGCTTCTACGTCCATTATCAAGAAAATTATACATTCACTTGAACCATGCTTTGCGAGAGGTATAAAAATAATATAAAAGAGTAATATCTACATACAAAAACATTCTGCAATATTCAGTACCTGTCTGCCATACATATAATATGTACATCTCAAACAATTCTTCATCCGTAGAACGAAAATCATATAATATTTACATCGATATACTACAACAGTGTGATCTAATGTATGGTAGTAGATAGATCATAATGATTGTTCGCATTTTTCATCTATATCTATAAATTGAAATTATTGTAGAACTTTTTCGAGTAACGAGAGCCACTATTTTGTTATTGTCATACTAGAATTTAGGTAAAATAATTGTGACACTAAGGTAGAGCTGTATCAAAGCCTATATCATTACATGCATCTGTACAAGCGCAATGAAACAGAAACACTTCAACAATTCAAGTAGAAACTCATTAATTTGCTGAAAGCTAAATCCACGTGAACAAAGTCAAAATATCGATCTTCTAATCAATATAACTATCACTCCTCAAGGAGTATATAAGCAAAGATCCAGACACCTGTCTGAAACACTGATATCTTTATCGATATTTCTACGTATCGACCTGGCTGAGCAACAGAGTCGACTCCGTAGAGTCCTTTGGCTCCACCTCCTTCGTCAATAGCACCTGATCGGGCGCCATCTCTGTTTCGGAAGCGAAAACGTCGTCGTCCATCTTTTCGGAGCATTCGATGACAGTCTTCTCATCAGACTTCGAAGTTGGACTGTCGTGGGACTCGTCCTCCTCATTGACAGTCTCCATGTAGGACACGCCCATGATTGGCGATACTGGCTCATTTGGAGTGGTTGTCTTGCCTGCTTTACCCAGGTAGTAGGTCATGAGCTGGCCTTTTCCTTTAACTGTCACCAGACCGCGCTGCTCGAAGTGGTAGCCGAAATGTTGAAGTATTTCGCAGGTTTCTTCGGTGACCTATGAGATCAATAGAGGTTAAAGTAAGCAAAACTTTAATGCAACGTTGAAAAAGTGATCTTGCACCACTTTTTATATCTTGTTACTGGTCATATCCTCTCTGATTCTTGACTGAATATGAATGTCATGAATTGTATTGTCTTGTCACATATACTTTTTATCAAAAAGTTTTTCCACTGCGTGGTATTTCATCAGGTTATGGGCCCAGGAATTGTATGAACCTAGAATTGTACTGACAATTTTTATTTGTCAACTAATTTGTTTTTCTGTTTTCCGACAGTAGTACAATGTAATTTTGTATTAAATAAATGATAATACTTCTTTTTGTGACAATTAATTTCATTTACAAATTAAATATTTTTTTGGCCACCCTGTATAAATAATTATGTTAATGTTCATATCACTGCATAGAGAATTGAATAACCTTTCAAATGAGCTATCACACGACCCCTATTCTCATTTAAAAAAATCATCGATTACGTCATCACGCAAAGATGGATGACGTCACTAGTATGACATATCTGCCACAAAATCATAATTTGGAAATAAAAATCGACGTGTTTCGGGATTTGTCTCAAAAGTTGCCTATTCTCGTAAAAATGAATTTATTCCATAATATTGCCCCTCACTGTATAATAATTCATCATACTGAAATGGCGGAAGAAGATAAATATAAAATACCACTGTTTGATGGGACCAATTATAGCAATTGGAAGTTCCGTATGGAAGTACTCTTGGAAGAACAAGATTTACTTCATTTCGTGAAAAACCTTACATAGAAAGAGTCAAAATAGAAGAGAAAGACGAGCCTGAAGAAAAAGCTAGGAAAGAAGGAATGTTGAAGGAGTTACAGAAGAAAGGCCGTAAATGCAAATCAATAATTATACAAAGAATAGCAGACAGTCACCTCGAATATGTTGAGGATAAAAAAACCTCATATGATATCTGGAATGTTCTGAAAAATACATTTGAGCGGAAAGGAATTGCAAGTCAACTTCTTATAAGGAAATCACTATTGACTATGAAATACAAATCATCAACAGAAGGTCTCAATGAACATTTTTTGAAATTTGATAAACTCATAAGAGAACTTCGATCTAGTGGAGCTACACTAGAAGAATCAGACATTGTTTGTCATTTACTTCTCATAATGCCACCAGAATTTGAAATTGTAGTCACGGCTTTAGAAACGTTATCTACAGAAAAGTTGACTCTGGAGTTTGATAAAAACAGACTTCTAGATGAGGAATCCAAACATTTTCAACATAAAAAGAATTACAATTCATCATCATCTACAGCGTTTGCAGCACTAACAAGACGATATACATATATTATCCGACGAAGTCAAGATTCGACGGAAATATCACCAAAAAAATACATATGCCTTCAAAATGCGATGGATGCGGTTTGATGGGGCATTCGAAAAATGAATGTAGCAGACACTATAATCGAAAATATTATGATAAATCAAATTTGGCAGAAACATCGAATGATGGACAAAGTGATGAAGAATTCTGTTTCCAAGATTCGACGGATAATCAGTTGGTTATGAACTGGTTTTCAGATTTTGGGGCTCCACAACATATGGTAAAAGAAGAAAATATCCTTCCTAATATAAAAATTCTCGAAGTTCCTATTAGAATAAGAAGTGCGAAAAATGGCCGACAACTTGAAGCGAACAAAAAAGGAGATTTATCAGTGAAGATTTTCGTCGATAATGAGAAGAATGAAATAACCATTAGAGATCTTCTCTATGTGCCTGGTCTTGAATCTAACTTATTATCTGTGAGAAAACTGGAAATTTATCTGCAACTGCGAGGTCTTTGAAAAAATCATCATGATTTGTACCTTCAATACTTTCAAAGATATGAAGATAATCTGGCTTACCTGAATGCATCCAGCTTTACCAGTACTTTCCATTCTGGAAGCTACATTTACAGTATTACCCCAGATGTCATAGTGTGGTTTTCTGGCGCCAATGACACCAGCTGTTATAGGCCCGTGATTTATACCTAGCTTCAATACGAAATGGTTGAATGATTGTTCGTTGATACTTTGAAGCGCTTTCATCAGCTCCAGAGCAAAATCAACCAATAGAGCCAAATGCGACCATCTTATCGAGATCGGATCTTCAGGCTGAAAAAACTCAGTTTGAGGTAACATAGTAGATGAATAACTTGTATGTCTGACCTTGATTTGTCTTGTTGGATTTAGGCCACTGGCTGCCATGTAAGTTGACCCTATCGTCTTTATTTTGATTACATCTTGGAATTGTGGCAATTCTAAGAGCTGAAAACATCAATATTATCAATATTCACAGTCACTCAAACCAAAATAATGACTTACTGCATCGAAATCTGATATCACTTCGTTCAGAAACCTCAGGCACTCCAAGCCTTGATTGTTCACTGTTTCTTCTGAATAGAAATCTGAAACGTATATTTCATGAAACAAGAGCACACAAATGAATTAAATAATATTACCTGAAAAATTTGGCATGGAAGCAAAAAGTACCCCGACCTCCGCATAACTTTGTGAATACAACTCGTCATGCTTTCTCTTTCTATTCCCCATGAAATGAGCTGCCACATGTGGAGGTAGAATATTGTAAACCAACGCTTCATTTCTTCGTCTCATATCCTCAGCACAATCCCTTTGCTCCTCTACTTCACATCTCCAAAGAAAAAGCACTCTTGCAACTTTCTCCATCTATAATGAAACAATTAAACGATCGGTTCCTAGTTGAGGAGTCATCGATACAGAATGATAGTGGATACGTACGTGCCTTGCCAGAAAAGCTAATGCCAAAGTAGCGGTCAATAGGAGTCCAGACAGAGAATATTTGCCTTTTGTCAAACTGAAACAAACCATCAATGGGATGCTCAGATATGATATTGGGATCCTTACCTAGTCCAGTGCTTCATGAGCTCTTCACAGTCTAAGTCTGAGGCAAGGATGAAGATGTTAACTATGCACTGAGCTCCAGCTATCAATAGCATGAGAAAACTCTTCCACAAATAGGAGAGACAGGCAGGCAATGAAGATGCAATTAGAATTAGAACGGTGAAGTTGCTGAAGTATGAAGGGTACAGACAAGACGCGTCAAGATCCATGGTTGTTGAACAATTTTCCGAGTGTTTCTTCAGGTGGACACAAGAAACCTGAAAAAACTGTTACTTGGAGAAGTTATAGGAGAGAACTGGAGATTGACTCACTGAATCTAGAATGTTCACAGTGCCTATGAGTACGATACAACTGGTTGATAATATTCGTCGCATCATCATAGATTCCTTAAACGTCTTCCAACATTTCGACTAGAACAATCATATATGTAGTGTGTGGGTGGGATTATGTGGATTTCAATTTTCTTACCAATCCTGGAAATTCCTCAGCTATAGCTACCATTATCAATATGAAGAACACAATGTTCTCAATGCAATAGGTGATGTCTATTGTTAAATCACTGCAATATAATCAAGTTATTAGACAATTTTTATTGAACGGTATAGGTTGAAGTCATACCTTGGTAATACTATAACTATCGTAGCTCCTACAGCCAACCTAACTATCAAAAACATGAGTAATGTGAAGCTGGAAAATGACTCTATGTGTCGGTGGTACGATTTTTCTTTCTGAGGATCTATGAATGCCAGATTCAGCAGTTTCGTGTTTTTCGACAGTTCCCTGAAATAAGAAATAATTGAACCAATTTGCAGTGATTGATGTGTTGATAATTTTACTTATGTCCATCCCTGCTGACCAATTCCTTTCTTAGTCTTATTTTGAAATCTGCAGAATCTTGACGTGATCTGCCATTACTACGATCCTGAGAAATTGAAGTTGAATCAATTATTTTTTACAATGAGACCAGTGAAATTGAGGTGCTTACATGTGCTGCTTCTTCTTCTTTGGTTTCCGAGCCTATTTCAGTAATGACACAACTATCTTCTTCTGGCTGAATGCTGCTACCATTTTGAATTTCTTGGGTGATTGGTTGAAACTAGAAAAGAATGGGGGTCATGAAATTGCAAGGGCCATCAAACATATTCGTTCAGTGATCTTTTATATTTGAGATACCTACTGGTTTGAGTACTCTCACTATGAAATATGTCTTAAGTCCTGCTGTTCTCAATGATTCATCTCTTTTTTCTCCAAACCCAGGCTCAACTTCAAATTCACCGCTCAGGAAAGATAATGTGGAATCAGAAATGTGTACTCTCCTGCAAAAAGGAAAGAAAAATGTATGAAATGTAGAATCAAGTATGATTGAAGGGTATTCTCCAATTTTTCTTCTGCAGTATTCTGTATTTCTGCAGTTTTCTTCAATATCTTTGTTATTATTGATCCTAGAATCACGAAATCCTACAAATCGTTTAGTGGAACGGAAAACATGATTTAATATACAGTAAGGTGTGAAACTTGTAACCGATGCAATAAAAATATCCCAAGCTCTTTTGTTTCAAGAGTTATATCATTTCTACTATCATGACATGATTTGTCAAATGCTTTTACATAATAAAGGTATTCTTCTTAGAATCCCGTAGAACGAACCGTTTTCGAGAAAAGTGTAATTTTTGGTAGTGATTTTTTTTATATCATTCCATTGTGATAGATATTTTTCAGCAATTTCTGATTTAATTTTATTGAAAAATAATCTGCTTGTCTAGTTGTATGGTTGTGATGACTACTATCAATTTGGAATAGCAAATTTGATGGTTCTGACAATATAAATATATTTCTCCGTCGACCTCGTATTAACGACTAAGTTTAATATATATGAAATCGTTCATTAATGACCCCTATTAATGGACGATTTGTCTATTAATGCACGATTGTTTTATAGGCAACCAAACATACACCGCGTGCATTCATTGTTTATGCTATAACTAGCGGAATCTGCATTTAAATCGAAAATATGGATTTCATCGACGATTTTTCGTTAACGGGTTCGCCTTTCCAAGATTCTGACACAATTTTAATCCCTGTTTTCTAACACAAGGAATTTATTTCCTATGTTGATCATTTAGACAAATGTCAAATGACACGTACTAATGTCAGTAACAAGGCTACTGGGTGATTCTTAGCAGTTTTCAGATGGATGATGAATTCGCGAACCAAGTTTTCTTCATTGCAGGAGAAATGAGAAATATAGCCGACGGAAAAATTTTGTAACCAACTTGTATATTAAAAGGCGATTAATGATCTCGAACATTAACGCACTCGCTTCGCTCGCACGTTAAGATATCTCGATCATTAGTCGCCCTCATTAATACACTAGTTGGTTAAATAACTATTTCCGTCGACCTCGTATTAACGACTAAGTTTAATGTATATGAAATCGTTCATTAATGACCCCTATTAATGGACGATTTGTCTATTAATGCACGATTGTTTTATAGGCAACCAAACATACACCGCGTGCATTCATTGTTTATGCTATAACTAGCGGAATCTGCATTTAAATCGAAAATATTGATTTCATCGACGATTTTCCGTTAACGGGTTCGCCTTTCCAAGTTTCTGACACGATTTTAATCCCTGTTTTCTAACACAAGGAATTTATTTCCTATGTTGATCATTTCGACAAATGTCAAATGACACTAATGTCAGTAACAAGGCTACTGGGTGATTCTTAGCAGTTTCCGGATGGATGATGAATTCGCGAACCAAGATTTCTTCATTGCAGGAGAAATGAGAAATATAGTCGACGGAAAAATTTTGTAACCAACTCGTGTATTAAAAGGCGATTAATGATCTCGAACATTAACGCACTCGCTTCGCTCGCACGTTAAAATATCTCGATCATTAATCGCCCTCATTAATACACTAGTTGGTTAAATAACTATATATACATATACTATATAATATATAATAACTCTCTTCATCTGTAAAACTTCTTAGAGTTTTGAGATGCTTCATAATTGATAGTTTTGTTGATCCAGGAATCAAATATTCAAGTTTCTCATAACATATTTCATCTCCGAATGTTTCACCATGAAATGGCGATATCTTACACTTCAGATAATAATTGAGTGAGAAGCTGTGCCGATTATATCGATTGCTATTACGTGCGAGTACAGCTTATCTGTGAATAAACTGTGAAGCACTTCTACTAGAACGGAAATTGTGTAAATCTCTAATGGAAATAGCGCTGCATGAGTCTGCTGCATATATTCATGATGAGATAATGAACCTGCTTGCTTCTTAATATGCCAGCTCTTCTTCATCCCCTCTGTCCTACACAAGAAGCAATAACGAAATCTTGCAGGAATCATATGGCAACCAGATATATATGTTACAGTAATTGGATAAAACTGATAGAAGACACTATGTAAACCATTATTAAAACAGGTAATTCGTGTCAGATATAATTCTCGTTATTAGTTTCAATCCAAGATCGATGTTCTAATTTCTCATGAGAATTCAAAGAGCAGTTGAAGCTTTTTGATTAAAAAGTGTATTCAATAAATAGAGGATTCGGCATAAATCTCCTAGTGAAAATAGGTGCCTTATAATACTAGAGGGTTCTAAAAATAAACTGAGAAGAATTAAGAATTTCATCGTCAGTTTGAAGAGTTATTTGGTTTGTTTTTTGATTTGATTGTGAATTATGATTATTGAACTACCAAAATCACCATGAAAAACAGAAACTAGGATTCCAATGGGATTCTACTGTCCAGCAATTCTGAGAGGGTCGACAGTATACCAAATAGCAGAAATCAATGAAATCGAGAACGTTGATTCCGAGATATTGTAGAATTTTGACAAAAATATAGTTCAGCATTTATGAAGAAATGCAGAAAGAAAGAGACAGTCGTATCGAAAATATACTCCCCGAATTTGAACTAGAAGAAAAAGAGTTGGTGAATGTGGAAACTAGAGCAAAATTTGTCGGCACATACTGCCATGCCTTCAGATATGTCTAGTCTTTTCACGTCTGGACATATTATGTGCAGTGAAAAATTGCTCAGCAAACGACTGAATGGTTTCGACAGATGGTTATTTGGAAAAGAGAAACCTCTACAAATTGGCAATGTTGATTGCTTCATTGATTCCATGGTAAACAATAATAAAGATAGATTATCGAAGGAGTAAATAAAATCGTTATCAATGGGGGACCTCGCTCCGAGTTGTCAACCTAAGAACATCTACCAATGTAAAAGCAACATAATGGAAGTATTATTACTCAAATTGCATAATTTTGATGAAATCTGATTGTAGGAGTCAACTCAGCTCACTAATTGAAGTTATTCAAAAAATAGTTATTTGTTTCACTAGGCAGAAAAGTAGTAGATTGACCGCCGCGGCTGATAGTTCATAGCCGAGTGTAGCGAGGCTAGGAATTCAGCCAAGGCAGTCAATCTACATTTGCTACCGAATGAAACATGAAATTTTTTCTCCAAATGATATAAAACCAATTTTGTGTAATTTTTGTATTGAAAACTCCATCATTTTGTGTTCAACCAATGTCAGTGTCAATTTTGATTACTAATTTCATTAGAATTTCTTGGAACGTTGCATAACAACAAACTTTTTCTGCCTAGGCAGTAAAAAACACGTTTTCTGCCTGTTAAGCGGCGGAGTAGACTTCACTACAATCAGATTTCACCAAAATAAAGCTATTTGAGTAATGAAATTTCATTATATTCCTTTTACAGTGGTAGAGGATTTTGGGTTGGCACTCCTAACATATATTTGACAGTATCAGAATATGAGAAGAAATAATAGATGTGTTTTATTCATCCGATTCTACCACCGGAATCACTTTAATGTGTCGGTTTATTTGCAACCTTATCGATTCCGGTTGCTACATTTCATTCCGTCTCACTACAAGGAATGACGTGGGATGACTGGTGACAGTTGTCAAAAAATGAAATTAGATTAAAGAAAAACGAAACTTTTTGAAACAGAAGACATTTAGTAGACATTAATATCGTGAGATTCACGAGTCTATTATTCTTTCAAGGAAAACAGGATTCATATCTTCATTCCCAGATACAATGAATCATCTTAATCTCAGACAACCTTCTTTGAGCACCACAATCACTACTCCAAATATGCATTGATTTATTTCTTTCGTCTTCTTGATTTTCAAATCTCTTATTATAATATTAAAGTATTTCGGAGCCCCGATATATGAATAAAACCTCTATCATCTATAATATTACGGCAATTTTCTCATGCTAGGTCATGAAGTTTCTCGTTTCATTTGTAAACGTCATTGTTCCCACCACCGTTACCAGAATGGAACAAATGAAACGCAACTAATGGTAGAATGGGTAGAAACGTAGAAATAAAGATTTTGGACGTAACAACGTTTCATATTCTTAGACTTGTATGAGAAACCAGGCTATTCCCAACTTGTTGCGATCAGTTTATTATATTATATTATTACCCTGCCAGGCCGCTGCTCTCCATTTTATTGGCCAATTCCACGTCCTTGGAATAGACGTCGAATTGCCATTGCCTCTGTCCTAGCACTCCTGCAAGCACGGCTCCTGTGTGGATCCCTACCCGCATGTCTACAGGGGAATTCGCCGTTTGCTGGACGTATCTGCAATGAAATTTCACATTAATCTAGGATTTTCACGGATAAAACCCTCACTGGCGTGGCGTATCAACAATATTTATTGGGAAAACAATAGTAGATTGTTTTATTAGGATCAAAAGTGACTTTGTTTGACTCGCAAATTTTGATATCGCTAGGCGATCCGAATGAAACATGATTTTTTTTCTGCAACCGAAACAATTAACTCAAATGAATATGTGAAGTAACTACCAATGCCGTGCCATATGTATGCAATGCAACAAATCAAAATCAATGCAAAATCCGTGTGGTGAGAATATCCTACCTGCATTAACAGCAGGTTTAGTCAATTTCCAAGGATGTTCGAATTGTATAGTTTCGATATAAATACAACCACAGAGTGACATATTTCTGTGTGGACCAGGTGCTCTAATGGCAAATACCGCTCCAGTGCCCGGTATAGGAACAAGATGTGGAAAATGTTAGGTTAGTGAGCATATCAACAATAATGATAGCGATTTTTCATTCCTTTTCATACTACACTGTGTTTTGACTCGATAATCACATGAAGGTAAACAATATCGTTGTTTGAGACAAAAAACGGTTGCTTGCCGTGATTATTCAAAAACAAGTTATCCATCCCGAGAATAACGAATGAAATACAGATCAAGCAAGTATGTGAATCTTGAAGGCTTCCCTGATCAAAACACTGAGATGTGTATAATTCCTATACTCAACTATAATAAGGTGTATTTATATCTCCAGCATGTGTATGAAATGCCAAATCTGCCGATATCGGAAACAAATCAGGTATGCGTCCCAACCCAAATAACCAACCGTAACAATGTTGTTTATTCTTGATGACGTGTAGTACATCCTTTTGAGTCCCTAGGAGCTAAGTTAAACTTTAGCTCCTAGGAAGTGAAGTTCAACTTTAGCTCCTAGGAAGTAATGTTCAACTTTAGCTCCTAGGAACTGAATATGTTGCCTAGCAACATACCTATTTTTGTGTCAGTAACGGAAATGTCAATTCAAGAGCTAATTTTGGAATTACAATTGCAGAAAAATGATTCTCGAGAATAGAACAAAGTATGTAAGAACACAAAGTCGTAAATTCAGTTTGGCTACTACCAAACCAAGTATTTTGAAATATTACGACACTGATATAAGATTCGCAGCATTCGCACTTGTGCGGGCAGTGAAACAAATAATCTCAAATTCCAGCTTTTCACTCAAGAAAAGTGATGAGAACTGATTAATCATAAAAATAGCAGGTACTGAAGTTTGATTTGCTCATCTGGATCTATACCAGGTGTCCCAGATCCTTTTATACAGCCAATATCTCGGTTATACTGCTTGGAAAAAAAATCGATTTTATCGAACTCAAATATAACTTCAACGACTTGATAATTTGACTGACATCCAATTGACACAATACAAACTGACTTAAAGACGGCTGCACAAACAACTGTCAAAAAGACATAACAAAAGAAATGATCTACACCTGTTAATTTTGCCATCGATTTTGTAATTTTTGAAGTATTACGTATATCGAAATAATAGGTGTTATACATCGTTGAATTGCATTAATTGATTGCATTTCTTTAATCTACGAAAAATGTTTAGGGTGATACTTGAAGAATTGAAGTTGGGAATGAGTTTTTAGGGGTAGTTTTACAGAAGTTGACTCTGGCACGATGGCTTCAATGTCATTTCATGTCATTTTTTCCCAAGCAGCATAACTGTATGAAAAGATCAGGGACACTTTTGTACTTTCGTGATCGGAATTCGTTCGATATTTTTTCCACAAATTGAAATGAAGGCCGTCAAAGTTGACAGTTCACAGAATGAGTGACATCAACCCAGAACACAATATCAGATCAGATTCACAACAAACCCAACCATTACAACTCTTGCTTGTTACATTTAATAAATCGTTAATTCAAAGAATGTTAATTATTTTTGATCAGATAATTGGCGTTTTTGTTAGTAGGTAAAATATTGTACTGTATTTGTATCGTTAATTCATATTACAATAATCGATAGGAAAAATGTTCCATCTCATATGGTAATAACAGTTTTTACGATACTTATATCATAAATACTATCCTATTACGTATAAGACGTTGTAGTAACGTCTAGGGTCCCTTGATGGAAATTGACGTTAAAGTCATCTAACAGGGTACGGACAGATCCTCGTCTCCTCTCACTCTAAAGTGTTTGTGAAACAGTTATATAGTTCCATCCTTATTCAATTCTGGGGATAAACACTAGATTTTTCACATTTGGTGTTTTTTAGGTCATTGGCGTATCATACGTAATTTCTATACCAAGATATAGATGATCAATCCTCTAGATTTAGAGTTTACTACTCCAGCATCAATCTTTGCGAGGTAGGGAACATACAAATTGTACTGAAAGCTTAATATATTTCACCAAAAGAGACTGCTCTTAGACTGTATAGCAGGGTTTACTGTTTTGACTGAATGAATGCTGATTTCGAGCTCAGCCGTAGTTTTCCTATGAGCTGAATGAACTGAGCCTTATGAATGGGAAATGGTGAAAACCTCGATGTGGGTATCTAAACATTCAGAAATCATTTGACACTGTCAATATTTTCTTTTCTCAACAATATACACATTTTATTGGGAACGAATGAAGAATATCATTACTTGATTACTATAGTTGACTTGGTAAACGTTGTTTTGCTATGCACAATATTTCTAGAGAATACTCTTTCAGTTAAATATTTACCAGCACAGTTTATTCGATTATTAGACGTCACCCAAAGTGATGTCAGTACTATCACGGAAATCGGTGTTCTAATTTTCGCTTGTGGTAGTTTTCTGGTATTCTTCCAGAGTATAAAAATCATGAAGATTTGTGTTCAGCATGATGTCAGAATACTGTGGTTTCAACATACAGGGTGTAAATTTGAAAACTTCCAATGCGAATATCTCGCGAAAGAAAAAAGTTAGGAAAACGCCGTTTGGCAAAAATGCTAAAGAGTTAAGGGGAACTAGAACCACCATATTTCGGTCAAGGGATGAGTCACCCCGTCGGCGCGACACACCCCAACTTTGAAATGTCAAATGGCACTACCTTTTTTGTGATGCCTCAAATGAACAGTCTCAGTCAGTAGTATTCACCTGTACAAGAATTTTTTTGTGTACGAAAAATATAAAGTCGAATAAAATAAAATGAATTGTGTTAAAAGGATATTTTATTTGATCAGATGTTCAAAATGCATTTCATTCTGTTGTAAGCAATAGTATAATCGATGTTCAAATGCCATTCTAACATTTTGGAACACATCTCTTGGAATATATCGGCATTCTGCATTTTATTTTATTCGACTTCATGTTTTCCGTTCACCCTGTAGTGGGTGGAAAATAAGTCTTGTACAGGTGAATACTACTGACTGAGACCGTTCATTTGAGGTATCACAAAAGAGGTAGTGCCATTTGACATTTCAAAGATGGAGTGTGTCGCGCCGACGGGGTGACTCATCCCAATACTGAAGTATGGTGGTTCTAGTTCCCCCTAACTCTGTAGCATTTGTGCCAAACGGCGTTTTCCTAACTGGTTTATTTAGCGAGATATTCGCATTGAAAGTTTTCAAATTTGGACCCACGAATTAATGTTTTTCGTACACCCTGTAGTGGGTGGAAAAAAAGTCTTGTACAGGTGAATACTACTGACTGAGACCGTTCATTTGAGGTATCAAAAAAGAGGTAGTGCCATTTGACATTTCAAAGTTGGGGTGTGTTGCGCTGACAGGGTGACTCATCCCTTCACTGAAATATGGTGGTTCTAGTTCCCCTTAACTCTTTAGCATTTTTGCCAAGCGGCGTTTTTCTAACTTTTTTATTTCGCGAGATATTCGCATTGAAAGTTTTCAAATTTACACCCTGTATTTCAAAATCACTAAAGGGAATCGGTCGAGATTGTTTTATTTTACATCCCCTGGAGGCGCCAATGGAAAGCTGAATGTTCTATATGTGTACTAAGTAGTATTTGAAGAGGATTTTCGACTTCATGGAAATAGTCTACGACTCACAGAGCAAATAATCGTTTGGAAATATTTGCCGTGGGGAAATTATTATTTCGGATCATGAATGTGTTATCTCGACTAGACGAGAATCTTCATTACATTTCTCTCAGGCGAATGAAATTACTATGTATTTCATACAAATGGCATAATCACATAAGATATCGTACTGTATGCATCAAACAAAACTTGTTTCAGTTTCTTCATAGGGTGTCATTTTCATAATAATCACCATTACAATCTCCTATACTCTATGGGAGCTTTGAGTATTCACACTATTGTACTATTGTATTCAAGAAACATCCATACAAAATTTCATTACAATGTTGCCAGTAGTATCGACATAATCATGAGAAATGTGTAAAAAAAATAATTTTTTCAACACCTTGTATCATGAAAACGGATGCCGTTACGACATTTATTCACTGAACAAACCCAACTTATTTTGCAGTGTTCTACCTACCCTAGCAAGGGGGTCGGGTTTTTTTAAAACACACTGTATATTTGTATTATGAACTGTATTTGATATGTACTGACTTGTCCAATTGCTCTTTCGAGCCCATCTCAATGGATCAATAAAGACTAAACTAAAACTAAACTAATCCATGATTGATCTAATCTAATCTAAATGTATAACTAACAACGTTTGCCAGTGTTTTCTTTCTTGAATTTTCACAAATATCACCCTGTAGGGAGAGATATTCGTATTACATGCAAACTATTGTGAGCATCTGAGTTCGAAAATAGTCCCGCAATTTCCCTGCAAAACTCGGTTTAACTCAATCAAACCGTCATTAATTGGAATTTCTCCAAGAATATCTATAGAAACTTCCTTCGTTTCTATAGAAATTTTCCGATATGCTCGACAAACTTAACCAGACTTATAAGTATGGAATGGTAAAATTCCTCTTCGAATATGGATATATATTCCCCAGAAAATCAATGAAGCGCATTTAATATGCTCCAGGTCAGTGGCGCCTCCTCATATGAGGCATAACGGAAACTGAGCCTCCTCAAAAATTTACATACATCGAATAGTTCGATATACTCATATAAAATATATACAAGAATAGCTATGAAGGTCCAAACACAATGCAAAAGAATAAGGAATAAGGAATAGCACTATGATTGGTTCAAAACGCGTTCAAGGTTAGAATTGACCAATAGCAGACCTGCATTCCTTATTTTCTCTTCCTTATTCTCTATTCCTATACATTGTGTCACGACCTTAACATTCGATCGGTTTGTCGGTTTCATTTCTGATGTCGTGAACCTAGTCATGGACCTAACGAATTTTGGCAACTGTGCTTTCTAGAACATTAGCCTCATCTCCCTTCGGTACAGTCTCAGAAAATCACCAATAACCAGTTGATTTGATAAGGTATATTGAAAATGTGTTAATTCAAATTTGCTTTGAATGAACACAATTTCGTATATTCCAAAATTTCCATATTGCGGTATGAATGATTTGTTAAGCAGAAATTGTTGATTATGAATTGACTTTGTCCTCGTTTGTAGCAGCATATTGCTAGAATAGGTATAGAGCAAGATGAATGATCGTTCAATTTTTCTGCATATAGTACTAGTGATTCAATAATCGCATGTTTTGCAGATGAATTTTCTGTTTTGAAGTCTGCTTTCGTCGAAGATTGATAATTTTTTTAAGATCATTATTATCTGAATTTGTGTTGCAACAGAAATCAACCATAAGTTCTAGTTTTGAATGAATTGTTATGAGTGACATGATTTTCGGTTATCATTAGAACTGTACCTCTAAGACGAAGAAACATTCCGATACCTCCGAAACAATTCGATAAGTATTAAATTTTATTTTTAAGCTATACGAAGAAACAACCAATACCTCCAAGTTCTTTGAGATTTTACGATTAGCAGAGACTTTTCCTGTAATTCAAACAGACAGATAAATTAAAATAGTTCTCCGAAGGAACTGGTGAATGTCTAACATATTTCGCCTACGACTTGAACTAAACAAATTGGGAAGTCGAACATTGCTGAAATTGAATTTTCCGATATTGTTCGTTCGATTGACACGAAAAAGGAGAAGATGGAAACTCTGAATGTAATAAGCCACAAGCGATGATATTCCCATCTGAGAAGGGATTATTGCAGAATTTGGTTCAGTCGTCTCGCCAAAATATACACGAGACGTATTCGTTTCGTGAGACCAAGATGAAAACAGGAAATGAGGAAATATAAGCACGAACACGGGCATCGATCTTACACAAAAGAATCAGAGAGAAATATTTTTCTTTCAGATAGAAAGATACAGGCCAACATTTTTTCGCGATGGCTCGGGGACACTGTGGGGAGTAGTTTCTCGATATGTGGATACGTGGAGGTATAGTGACGTTTTAGTTTATATACATAATATAAAGGGTGCTCCGGTTCGTAATACAAAAAATCCAACAGTGTGTTGTACTCATTGAAATTATATAAAAAGTTCATATAAACTTATACTTTAACACGCATCGTTTTCGAGATATAGAGTTTTGAAAATACGAGTCTAAAAAGTGTTTTTTTATGTAAAGTTCGAAACGGTTTGTGTTAAATCACAAACTTTTCCCCCAGATACTGAACTTTTTACGATCTACGAGAAGAAATGAAAATTATTTCATTAATAAATTCAGTTGTGGCTGAATCTGGGGTTGGTGAAGGAAAAAATCACCCCAATTTTTATAAGTGCATTCAATTTTACATTATCGAGTACAAAATGTGAAAACTGATAGATTTCTAGTAGTTTTCGTATTGAACCGGAATAATGATATGAGAAATCGAAGCTAAAACACATAATATAACTGGACAAACACAATAAAAATTCACCATCCTCAGATTCAGCCGCTACGGAATTATTTTATGAAATATTTCTTATTTCACCTTATAGAGCGTAAAAAGTTGAGTATCTGTTATCAATTTTGTTGATTTATCTCAAACCCTTTCGAATTTTTCATAAAAAAACAATAATTTTATATGAACTTTTTTTATTATTTCAACGAGTACAACACACAGTTTGTATTGCAAACCGGACCAGTATGCATAGAGGGTAGTCCAACGTAATCTTCAAACCCCGATTTTAGGACTTTAAAATGAAAACTTGGAAAAACGCTCAGACCCGTTGATTTCTGAGCGAACGTCTTGTCTGCTTTCTTCAGCCCTATAACTTCAATCCCCTAAGCAGAATCCCCGGATTTTGAATAGGATTGAAGGGTGTTGCGATAACCTCATTTTGAAAATTTCATCGAGCTCTATCCAACCCCTCTAATTTTGGGTCAAAATTGTCAGGGCCAGGTAGCCTTGTGGTAGAAGCGTTAGTATTCTAATGGCGATGGGTCGCCGGTCGTGAGTTCAAATCCAAACGACTGCAGAAATTTTTCTGATGCCCAAGAAAGTGTTTGGGATCACACGTTAAAAGGTAAGACCCTCCTCATTCCTTGCTCGCACAACTCTCTTGAAGACTTCTGAGAGTTGCTTGTAAGGGCGCTACTGATTGGAGGCAAAATCCATTTTATTATAGATCATAGGTATTCCCTTTCTTGCGCTCTAAGCGATAAAAAAAAACCTGATAACTTACCACGTCTATACGTATGATGAAACAAATGAGATGCTGATGGGATTTGAGTTATATGATAGGCACCCAAAATTTCCTCAAAATTGCCATACATTTTCAAAGTTTGCAGATCTGCATATCAGTTAGGTGTGAATTTGTTTGTTTTTTTGTTTTAAAATTTGTTCTATCCGTCATTCGGTTGCCCCCTTACGAGCAACCCTCTAAACTCTTCGAAAGTCTTGTGCGAGCAAGGAATGACGGGGGCCTTACCTTTTAACGTGTGATCCCAAACACTTTCTTGGGCCATCAGAAAAATTTCTGCAGTCGACGGGGATCGAACCCACGACCGGCAAGCGAATGCGAATTAGAATATAGACACTCTGTCCGCACTCCGCACGGGTACCTGGCCACCTATGGACTGGAGAAATATAACCATCTACATAAAATGATATAAATTTCTGATCGAGAAATTCCTTATTTAGTTTGACTTGTGGCAGTATGGGGGAGAGTAGAGTGTCTCAAACATCGCTTGTCACCACTCACAGTTCCGAACTGTCATCATTCTCAGATTTAAAACGTCTGTTCTGAAAATATAATAGGCGCGTCCCCGCGAAAATGTTTTCGAATATGTCTCAACGAACTGCAAAATTTCTTAAAATGATGGTTACCATTTATATTCCAGTTGCCCAGAGACGAGAAGACATTTCAAGTATTCGTTAAAGCTTCGAGTTCCATAATTCATTTCATGGAAATATATTCAATGATGTAATATCGATATGACTACCAAATGGTGTAACGCCACTGTTATGGTTTCAAATAACAACATGTCTGCACTCGTTTATTGAAGAGGAACAAAAAAATTACATTCCATCTCTTATAAAATGTATTTGTGTCTCATGTTTTTTGTCCACTCTAATGGAGAGATAGTTGATAAACGATACTTTCATATAAGAAAAGATTCCGTATAGTCGATGAAATAACTCTATCTTTGTTAATTTTCCTACATAGAATTGAACTTACTTGATAGCTTTCACCATGGATAGCCCCATATGAACACACAGTACAGCATGGTCTCTCCTCTCCTTAGGAGCGCCACTTATGCAGTAGTAACAATCCCCCAGAATTTTTATCCTTAGTTGCTGGTATTTCTGGAAAAACAAGTTAGCCATAAATGATGTTTTTCTGGTCTGAGAATGAATAAAATATCTCGCATGTATTATTCATCACGAGAAAACTTTCTGAAGGATTTGAGGTTATGGTGAAAAAATAAATAACAAATCAGTCGAGTGGAAGAGGATCGAGATGTCTTTGATATTAAAAATATTTGCTGGAAATAGCGAAGTTAAGGGGAGAATATCCTGAGTTCAAAGAACATGTATTTTTACCTCGGCAAGTTTGTCGAATCTTGCGAAAAGTTCGTTCAACATTTTCACCAACTCTTGAGCAGAATAAGTTGAAGAAATCGCAGTGAATCCAACGATGTCTGCATACAGAATACTGAAATAATGAAACATTGATTTGTTCAATATTGGGTGAATCGAATAGAAAAATGCAATTCTAGGAAGCTATTTTCAGTTTCGATATAAAATAAAACTGGAAAACTTTGGTATACGAATGAATAATATACAGAGAGATTTACGTAGGCAACAAATTGGAGATTTCTCACCTTGCAGTTGGATTGAGAAGAAGATTGGTCTGTTATAATCATTCATCTCCAATCTCATTAGAATATTGTTAGCTTTCCAGCTATACAGGGTGTGCCAAAAGTCAGCACCAACTTTCTCATTTTAGATAAAAAACTGAATTTTTCTCATACTATTCGATTGGTCTTTCAATTTTGAATTCAGACAACCCAGTTTATGTCAACTCATCTATCACAATTTCCGAGATATGACGATTCAACGGAAATAATGATCAACAGGGCTGGAAGAAAATCCTACAGGCCACCAGAACTTTATTTAACATTGGAATCGTGGCATGTTTCGAAGCTTCAAAGCTTCATCATCAGCAAACATTATTTGTTACAGGAAGTACTTCAATAAGAAAGATAAAAAGGTACGTCAGACAAGCATTTATGAGATAAAGAGAGTCATATAATCCCACCTGTTCTTTGGAAAAATATTTCACATGATGAAAAACCAAAATTGTTTGACTTCAGAGAGAAATTTTAACTACTTCCTTAATAATGTTGATATTTATAATTTGACCAAGGTGATCCGCATTCAATTGCAGACCCTTCATTTTTGGAATAACAATTTTTAATATGTGAATTACATTTTGGTTTTTCATCATGTGAAATTTTTTTCCCAGATCTGGTGAAGATTATTTAACTCATTATCTTAATGCTTGTTTGACGTAGCTTTTCGTCTTCGTTATTGTAGTACTTCCTGTAAACAATAATTTTTGCTGATGATGAAGCGTTGAAGCTTCGAAACATGTCCCAATTACGATGTTGAGTTGAATAAAATATAGTTTTAGTGAAGGAGAGTATAAATTCGAATAACACACCCTTACCTATGAATAACAGCTGTAAATTCTTAGGATTAATCATTGACTCACATTTAGATTGGAAAGAACATTGCAAGATCCTGATTTCCAAACTTTCATCACTGCACTATATTTTCAGAAATCTCAGAGTTGTTTTAAAACAGCAAGAACTGATAAATTTATACTACGCACAGGTGGAAAGTCGACTGAGGTATGGTATTTGCCTATGGGGAGACTCTACACTGTCGAATAATGTCTTCGTCTCTCAAAAAAGAATCATATAAGGTGTATTGCTGGTGTTAAAAAAAACTTTTCTTGTAGAGAAATCTTCAAAAGATTTGAAATTCTCACTTGTGTAGGCCTCTACGTATCTGAAGTCTGTATTTTTGTGTTCAAAAATAGGGATTTGTTTTTCATTTATAATGATTTCCAAGAATACAACACACGTCGTAAGGATGATTTACGAATACCACTCTCTAAACGCGATATTTCATATAAAGCTCCAGCTAGAATCGGCGCAAAGATTTTCAATAGCTTACCCATAGAAGAAACACACCTGTTTAATCTATGGCTCTATCAAAAGCTCAAAACATGAACGCACCTTCAAGAAAAACCTCAAGGAATATCTGGTTGAGAAATGTTTATATGGTTTCAATGAATACTTTCAACTCCACTGTTATTGTTAATTCATTTTATAAATACCTACCGTACTACCATTGGTATTGGTATTCATTCTCATACAATTGTATGTTGTCTTGAAGAAATAAAGTGATTTGATTTGATTTGATTTCTTGAGTTGACTGTAATATTATCTTCCTGCCCTATTATCTTCAATCCATTGCAAGATGGATCGACTCAGATGGTTTAATAATTAATAACCATAACGCCCTAGTAGTTTACGAGAGAATTTGTACAATTGGCTGGAACCCAATGGGCATAGGTACGTTGATTTAACGTTCATTTAACGTTGAATGGGTAAAAAATATGTTACTCGTTGATTTTTCAACGTTATGGAAATGACGTTATATGAGTACGTTATAATACCATATATTCAACGTGGTCCCATTTTGTACCATATGGGGAGATTTTCTAATGTCGCATTAAAAAACTGTTGATTTGCTAATAGCCAATTGATTACCTGACATTTTCGTGTCTGCTCATGTATATTTTTTTGAACTGGCTGTCTGTGGAGTCCAAGTCTTTCCTCATCTGGACTGCAACATGTTCGGGTAGTACAGAAAGTAGAAGCCTTTCCTGAAAAACATTTATTATATTCATCTCATTGCATATTGAATTATGTCGAAAGTCAAATCAAATTTCAAATCAAATTTTATTTATTTAGTGCTTGAGTACAATTATGAATTTTATAAATATCAAATTGTTAAAAACGACCCAGAATAAGCATTAAGCCTAGGCAGGATTGCCTGTATTGCTGTGCTAATTCTGAGGCATTTTGTGAAGAGTTGTACATCAAATAATAGAATATTGGTAGGTAAGTGAATGTATTTATATAAACAATCCTATATTTCAAAATGCAGGCAGGATATAGAGATGTGGATTGAAAAAGGAAAAAATTTAAAAAAAAAAGAAAAAGAAGATGATGACAAGAATGATGAAAAGAATGAAGAGATGGCTGAAGATGTTTATTCAGATAGTCATTATGTCCAGGAAAACCCTGTGGTTATCTGTTATATAATTTCGGATTCCTTTTTTTGAATTTCTCCAGTTTATGAGTTTGTTTGAGATATAAGGGTAATAGATTATAGAATTTGGTCCCAAAATATAATAGAGATCTTTGAGAAACTGTTTTTTTGAATAGTTGAATTGGAAGATTCATGTTAGATGTGGAGCGAGTTATGTAATTATTTTTATATTCAATTTTTTCAGGACTAGCGTACACTTTTATAATACATTGATAGATGAATATCATTTCAACATTGAATATCTTTGCTTCATCATATAATCTCTCAGTAGGAAATAATTTTTGTTTTTTGAAAATGATTTTTAATATAGTATTCTGCACAGTCTGTAAAATATTCGAACTACATTTTTCCAAATCCAATCTGAACTTTCAGCTTCTAGATTAATTGCATTCCGCATACAAACCGGAATTTTCAGCTTTTTTCAGACGAAGGTATTGTATTCTCCCATCGGATAACTTTCACATGTATGTATATTCTTTTCTGCGAATATTTTCACTGGCAGAATTAATGAAAATGTTCAGGTTTCACATACGTCTGTCAAGCATAGTTCACTTATGAAAGTAGCTAGGGAAAATGAAAACGCATGATGCTCAAACACTGAGTGAATAGTACAGGCCGTTTTGTTATAAAACGGACATACAACAAACTAAGTTATTGGACATTGAAGGCAAGTGAAATAAACTGTTTCAGATTGTGAAAGTCCTCTCCTAATTTTTTTTCAATATTTGGTATTGCAATTGAGAAGTCCATAAGGAATCATTTGTTTTGTCATTTGCATGGTGGGTAATTTCGAATATCCATTGTCCATGCTATTGAAATCTCCATATCAATAAAAGATCGAATATTTCATTTCCCCAAATAATCTTTACCTGAAATTCCATATTCCATGATTGATTTCTGATACAACAAATTCACTCAAGCCAGATCAAGATTTTTAATTACTATTTTTTCAATGAATTTCTCATATTAGTTGGTGATTATATCATCATTGAAGGAAGAAGTATTTCTCGAAATCAGTAGGTATTTATTCTCATTCATTACGCATATATATGGGAGTTTTCTGATTTTCCTTTGAGTAAGCTACGTAAAAGAACTTTTTTCATTACTACTGGAGTGCTTCTCTTCTCCCCGAATCGACTTCAATATTTGCGAGTGAAAGAGCAGAAATCTATCTAACTCATTTAATCTGAAGATACTTCGACATAGCAATTTTTCGATCCATTAAAAATGTTCAATTAAATCAGTTCAGTCGAACATAATAATGTTTTCAAGCTCCAGCGATATTTTACTTTCAAATATAGAGTTCAGAAATATATCATATACAGATTCTTTCACTTCGAGCTCTCGTTAGAAGTGATTTACATACATATTATACACTACTCTTTTTACCAGTATATAACCTGACGAAGCTACTGTGTTAGCGAAACGTGTTGTGTGTTTGAGAATTTTGTGGAAATCTTATCGTTCGTGAAGTTTTTACATTTGCCATGAGTTTTCATCAAGTAACGGCCGAGTCAATTAAAAGAAAATAGGATGTTTTCCCGAAACAGTATTCCTGGTTCATATCTCCTAAGATATGCTACTCCATTCGTAATACGATTGATATGATCTATTTTCTGATAGGAAAAGTACAAATAATTTAATAAATTTTTCTCAAGAAATGTTTCCATAGTTTTTACCTGTTCAGCACTTTGCTCCTCTATGACAAGCTTCACCTCCAAGGACTGCCTGGTTTCAAGAAATGCCCTTCTTTGTTGCTTGTCCTCGACCAGAAAGGATGTAAGTCCTAGCAGATTGGCCGTCGCTAGCAAGATGCAATTTGACAGGTGCTGAAACAATATTAGTTATTGATTCATCAAGGTATAGTACACAGAATATCATTATCATCTAGGGAAGCATAGAAATATAAGGTCCCGTGGCATAATATGATATTATGTGCATACATATTTTTATTTGAATGAGAATGCAAATTCTCAACTTCAAAAGATTTTATTTTCGAATTCTTAACGTGTATGATCAATAAATATAATTCAATGTTCGTGGTGGCATACAGCCAGGAAAGTAGTTGTTTTCTGTTGAATAAACCGAGAAATTAAGTTGAATGATAATTGATGACAATTCAATGAATGTTTAGCGTAAATCACATTTCTGTTGATGGATTTTTCAATTCTTCCACTCGAAGACTCCAAATCGCGACATTTTCACAGATAAGATTGTTTTCTGACAATGCAAAATGGACGAAAATTGATATAAAGTCCATCAAGCTTTGTTCACAATTCTGGTTGTCATGGTTACAAATGTTAGGTCCCGTTTTGTCGCTGAAGAAGCTTTTTCGCTGTCCTGTGTCAAATGAGCTATTCAACATAATCTGAAGTATGCCAAAATTAAAATTGTACGAAATAGTCCAACTTTCAAAATGAAAAATCGTTCCGCACGCTCGTAGGTAAAGTTCTTGTTGCTATTCTCAATAATTAACAAGTCAACAGTTTTTGATGTCAGAAAAATACAATATCATCGACAATCGCGCCGATTCTATGGTCAATTGCTTTTTTAAGTACTTTTAGACGTTTGGAATATGAAGGAGTAAATTATTGTCGTTTGTTTTATTGTAGTGTGATGAAGACACTGTTTATATAGTTGATTTGCACGGATCTTATAGATAAGTCGACGCCAAGACATCATGCTGAAGGCCATTTATTACACCTCTCAAGGAAGATAATTTCGTTGAGGTCACCAATAGCGGCTTCTCAGATTCAGTGAGTAGAAGAATAATAATTCAAATCTCCTGTCTTGCGGTACTTGTCAGCGTAGGTGGAGAGAAAAACAACCACCGCTATTTCACCCTCCGCCGGTAAATATGTCCTGGGAATGTGAAACTTCAGCATCGTGTACTGACACTACTGTCGCATGAAATATCAACAATCTCTGACGTTTGGAGAAAAAAGAACGCATTCGAAATTGGAAGTGAACGCATGGATGAGGATTCGGTATGAAGGGACCATATCGATCGTGGTTCGAAATGTTGACCTAGTATTGAAGAGGATTCGGAGGCGGCTCTGGAACAAATGCGCCCTCCGAATTTTAATTTTCATGACACGTTGCTGAGTAACGTGACGAATCATAGACTCCAAGCAAACAGTTTTAAATGGCAGGAAAATTGAAACAAACTCGCTCGACCATAATAATGGGAGGCTGATGAGTGAGACCAGGCCAGGGGGTCTATTCTGGAATTCGGTAGTAAAGGAATTCGATCTTTTATTTCACTTCAACATATGCCACATATTTAGATTCCTCTTTTTCATTCGTATACGAATTGTTTCTCTACTCAAACCAGTAACAAGCAGAATAGCGACAGACAAAACAGCGAGAGGACAAAATAGCGTTATAAAGACGAAACAGCGACAGACGGAATAGCGACAGCAGAAAAAGCGATTGGGGAAACTGCTTTGGGAATAGCGACAGATAAAACAGCTGCCAAACAAATAAAATTTTCGAAAAACAATCGCATAAGTGCAATATTACCGAACCATACGTCCATGAATTTGCTCGGACCGGCCACGAATATTTTGGCCTGCCTGCAACCTGTGATATTCCTCCAGTAATTCTCGATTGTTATTCGAATACGAATTCGATCTTTTATTTCACTTCAACATACGTCACATACGTGAATTCATCCTTCTTTATTCTTATAAGGATCGAATTCCAACGGTTCGAGAATAGACCAGGTCGGATAATTTCTCGAGAGCATTTCCGCATTCCTGTACCAATGCTGAGCTTGGTCTGGCATGACAGATAGCCTTGAGTCTGACTGTCCGAACAGATGTAGATCTACTGTACTGGCTCCTCTTCCACCTCTTGCCTTTCTGCTATAATAAGGCTCGCGAATACCACAGCTTATATAGAAAACTGTGGTGTAATTTCTTAGAGCGTCGTTTTCTCGTATATTTCTCCCTTCTAGATGAATTCCTGCACCCGAGGCCTGTTTGTCAGTCAGGCGGGATCCGTATGTGTGAATACTAGGCTCCCTAGGCAGAACACTGTATTTCTTCTTAATCCTTCTCTGCTTGGCATAGTAAGTTTGAAGCCACTATACTATCTCAGACTGTCTTGCGCTTTATTCACTCTGAGATTGGAGATAGTAATCTCCTGCTCCACCTACTTTTTATTTCGACAGATTTCGACAAAAAATACTCTCAAAAGCAGCTGTGATTTTGCCATTATGACAGCAAGAAATCTTCTCGAGCGATAAACCGGAACCTAACATTTGAAACCATGACAACCAGAATTGTGAACGAATCTTGATGGATTTCATGTCATTTTCAGTCAATCTTGCATTGTCAGAAAAGAATCTGATCTGTGGAAATGTCTCGATTTGGAGTCTACGAATGGAAAATTTGAAAATTCCATCAACAGTGACGTGAATGAAATATCAAGTTTACTTCGACAAAAGAAACTCTCGTGAAGTGACCATAGGCCATATTTCAGTTTCACAAAACTGTACACAATGAAATGAGATATATCAGAATAATGAAAATAATCGAAAATTATCGAAAATTATCAATTTTTGCTTGTCTCATTTCGAATGATGAAGACAAGTTGATTTCAAAGTAGTGTAATAAAACATCTTTTTCACGTGTCAACCTGTACTTCCCTGCCTGTACGAATTCATTGCTTCTCAAGGAAGGTCTCAAGATATTCGCGAGCAAATTATTACATCTATAGGTCATGGAAACTTCCTGTCAGTGGTTCCCATTTCAATATCCCTCATCTCCGAGAGGAAAGGGAGGCATTAGGGAAGATTTCCATTGAGTTTTCCACAGGATCGCACTATGACCTTCACCGAATTAAAACCAAATCAGTGTACGAGAAAACTGATGGATCGCCCTACTAAATTTATCCAACGACATTAGCTGAGGAAAGTTTTGTGTTGTTCGTCGGTATATTTCGATACTATAACAAAGCCCATTGAGACAAAAAAAATCAAGTCCGTTGCATGAACTTCTCTGTCAAATTGAAGTGGATTCAACCTGGTTCGTAGCCAGTTAGGTACCCAGGAAACAATCGGTATCCTTTGAAAATCTTCGAGCACCTCCTAGATGAATTTTTATTTGGGACAGGACGAAATTCTACTCCATCGAAACTATACTTCATTGTAATCAAATTTCAGGACATGTTTCGAAGCTTCAAAGATGTTCACATATCAAAATGAAAATTGTTCACAAATACATAGTTGAAAAAATAAAATAGAGGGACCGCAATTATTGTATTTCTTGTTGATCATACGAGCAGAAGGTTGCAAGGACGCGGAACGAAGGTAATAAAGATGAGAGTACTGCTATCAACAATCAAGAAAATAATTAAAGGCTCAGTAGAGTGAAACAGATCACAAGAAATGATTCTCAGATTGTCTTTCAAGGAGAGTTCTAAGGATTTCTCCCCCATCATCAAACCTATACTGAAAAGAGTGGACAGGGTGATGAAGAAAAAAGCGACATACGCGAATGCTGCACCAAAACGTTCCACAAGAAAATATATGAGGCCGTTTATCAAATTTTCTATATTTATATTGTATAATCGTTTAATAAAGTTACTTGTTCTTCTTAGAACTATAAGATGGTCGATCAGTTTTCAATTTGATTCTCACTATAAATATATTGCACCATGAAGTTATACAAACCAGTCCCCTAACATAACACGAGTCTCAATCCGTCTAAACAGCAGAGGGGTGCGAAATAATGCTTCTTTGCTAATTTAAACAATGCAGTATCGTCAATAATAACTTTAATCATAACAAAAATATACCAATGGTGGACATTGATTCAGATAACCCCATATACACCCATGAGTTTTTGTTTCCATCTCTTGGAGCGCACGAAAGGAAATTCCTATAATGTTCCAGGAACATCGTAAGTCCTAAGTATGCACAATATTTTTGATGAACCAATTGATTTAATCCACTGATCAAATTTCAAGAGCTTCCTGCTTCCCCCTAGAAATAGTTTCTGTCAGCAGGCCTGATGGAATCGAACTCATCAACTAAGAAATTGTTACCAATGTTGCCATGGATATGAATAAATCGAGTATAATAAATTCTTCTTTTTTCTCAAATGTTATTCATTTCATCTAGATTGCCTAACTCTATCACTCAGAACGAAGCTTCTTTGACTAACAAGATATGATGGACCTATTGAATTATTCATCATACAACTGGCCACATTCAATGCGATTCCACCGTTTTAGTGGGTAGATAATTCCTAATTATTTTTCATTGTCAGCTATTCTACAAGCTCCATTGTCCACGATTCTAAAGGTCTGATTTTTTGTATCTCTAAGCAACTGCTGGTTAATTAGACAACGATGCTGCAGTTCTTAACATCAATCAACTCTGAAACCTGGCTTCATAACTGGCCGACCTTTGCCTCTATTTCTCTCCTTGAAAGAAACTCTCAGTGTAATTAGGCGAGTCTCTCTACCCCTTCTTGTAAGTATACAGTGATGACAAGAAGCAAAAATGAAGAACAAGGTCAAGAGTTCACGGATTATTGATCACAGCCCTGTGTAGTAAATCCTTCTTCAGTTCATAAAATATCTATAGCCATTGGATCCTGATATGCATTAGATTTGTTCCATCAGAAGGAATAGAGAAAATGGTGGATTGAAAAATCATGAGTAATAACCTCATTCTTCTGTAGAAATCTGGTATCTTCTGGATTCAACTTACGTGACATACCTAACCATATACAGGGTTTTTCGTAATATGTGGGACACAGGTGATAGGTGATAGGGCGTCTCAAAAGAATCCTGAAGTTTTTATTAACAAAAGTCGTAGAAGGCTAAAATAATTGTCATTGAATTTCTAAATTACCGCTAAACAAAATTTTTGTTATTCTGGTGCATCACTCAGTACCTGAGAGAAATTAAATCGGTAGCATTATTCAGTCATTCTGACTACCAGTGGCACCGTTGAGGGGTATTGATGTGTCATTTTTGAGAGAAAACATGGATGGTGTTGAAACTTTTCACCCTATCATCTCTTGAATTGCGTTTCACATATTATGAAACACCCTGTAGCAATTGGGGTCAATTGCAATATTGGTGATGGAATGTCATATTTACTGGAAATTGATATTCTCAACCATCTTCATACTGCACTCGCAACCGAGATTGTTCCTGTTTTAGGTTGTATTTCTCGATAGATATATTCTTTTATTGGTATCTATGTTTTGCTGGCTGAATATAGCAAAATTGACATACTTCGCATGGGCTAAAAATGATATAGTACATACATTCTTCAATTCATCAGCCATTACGAAAATCGAAAACGTTTTCATTTCGCAGAATATTAAATTTCTGTAAACACGCTATCTTGGCACAATTTATGGAAAAACCAGTTGTTACTCAATAAATTCGCGAAAAATGAAATAAAAAAATTAAAACTCGAATATATATCGCTGTGCATATCATGCAAATATAAATTTGCATTGATGAATTTGCTTCCATCAACATAACAATACTTCTCGATGCACGTGTCATTGTTTCGATCCAAATCACATTTTTGAAAATATACCAAACGAATGCAAAATTAATCCAGTTGAAAGCTGTGAAACGTGCAGTTATGATATAGCCCCAGAGCAATATTTCTAGGAATGGCAGAAAATGATGGAGATGCCCCATATAAAATATCTCACATTCCTAAGTGACTACGCAGACATCGGCAATTTGATTTCTCAGGGTGTTCCAGAACTTCACATATATACAAGCAATATCTTGATTATTTCAAAGGATAAATGATAACTGTTTTGGATAAAATCCAAAGCACCATTGAAACCTAGTTCCTTCAGACAACACTCAAGGATTCAACATTGTTTCAAATTTTACCTTCTTTAAAATGTGTTTCTTCAGAAACTACAATTCTATAGTATTGAAATAAATCTAATATTCCTGCACAAATATTTACAATTGCTGTTTACTCTACATTACGGTATACTGCGTAAAATATCTCAAGTATTGATAGTTATATAAACACTCAACTAGAATTCTGGACTAGCACTGCCTATACCAGGGTCAGGCACACTAATCATGGTTCAAACAATATCGAAATACCCCCTTTTTTGTATGAAATTCATTATTTTCAAACAGAACACCCTCTATTTCATGATATTTTCAGATCTACATGATCTCCTGATCTGAAAAATACCTACCAAGTAAGTGGACTTGGAACCACAACCCATACGAAATTGGTGGGATCAGTGAGAAATGTAGTAGTAATTTTTTTGGGGGTGGTTCTCTACATGAAAAAGTCAATTGAGTAGTGTGCTTTGACTAGGACCCCTTGAAATCGCCAGTGGAAGTCTTTCAAAGTTAATCGAATCTGGAATCTGTTTTATAATGTTACTAAACTGATAGGCAAATGATTGAATATTTCTCCCTTTGTCAAAATCGAATATTTTGAACAATACTAGTCCGATTCCGGGACAGCTTATTCCATATTGTAGAAAATGTTTTTGAGATTTCATCTCCTCCATTACTTGTTTTCAGATTTATGTGTTGATATACTTCTCAGTAACAGATCTTGATGCCAACAAATGAGTTGCAGGATGTTTCCATTGATAAGTCTTGAATTTAACATTTAATCAACAGAGAATAGTTTTTTTCACTACTATCATATCTGTTTTTTTTTATTTCTTCGGACGCACAAAAAGGAGGTAGGTATTGGAATTTTTCTGAACTTTTAGAGATTATAGGTTCTTGGGAACACTTCCTTCGGCAAAGAATTCCAAAGCTTCGCCGTATTTACAGAGAATACTTAAGTTTCAAGTTTTTTCACTATCATCATATTTTTTTTATTTCTTGGGACGCACGAAAGGGAGGTAGGTATTGAAATTTTCTGAACTTTTGGAGATTATGAGTTCTTCTAAGCTTCGCCGTTTTATGGACAAACGTGTTTTGGTGAAAATTTCTTCGACATATCTCAATGTCGACGATGAAGGGATGTGCTGACTGGGCTTGTCGAGTTCGTCTGACTGGTACTGCTAGTGATGGAATGATAGCAGAAATTGCAGAAGAACATTTCCCGTGGAAGTATATCTATAGAAAAGTGAAAGGTCGCTGACTTTTCTACTGTGTTAACATGGTGTCAAAGAATTATTGAGTGAGACATCACCCACAAGGCGATTGGCTATTCTCTGGATGAAATCTACTCTTCTAGGGAGGTTTTGGAAATAACATTGAAACCGTTGAAATTTCCTCCTCCAAGACTATAACACTCGAACTATGTAATAATGGAAGTTCCAGCTGCAGCTAATCAATTGAACAACGCGGACCCGCTTTCCGGAAATCAATCACCCATTCGGATTGACAATCAGAATGAAAATCGACCGTGGCCTTTATTATTTATATGAACGATTATAGGCGCTTTTGTTGGTGTTAGATTGGACAACGAACAATGGTCATGCAATCGAGAAGATATGCTTGATATGAGGCGTTCCCAGAGATTGGATAAAATTAATTATTTAATCTTCGAAAAAGTTTCTCTACTATGACTAAATTCCGAATTCAACTTGACAGCAATGTCAGTATATCCACCGACATGGGCTATATTCGGAACTCAACTGACAGTACTGAATCTGCTGATTTTACATTTCATAATCGAGAAAATTCATTGAGAGTGACATACTACAGACAGACATACTATTCTAGGGCTTCCTGAGACCAGGAGTCCAGTCTTGGTTTTGTCTTGATACAAGACCAAAACCAAGAAATAATAAATCTTCCCAAGACCAAGACGAAGACTTGATTTTCGAGAGCAATACTAAGACCAAGACTTTCTCCCAAGAGTAAGTCCTGGTATTGGAAATGGTCTCGCGAAGTCCTATACTATTCATTTCAAATATTTCGACTCAACATTCTGCTGAAATTTCTGACAATCAAAAGGTAGTGTGGCTTCAGTGAACTGTCATTATTTCAGAGGGGGATGGAATTTCACATATATCTACGTTGTTTTTCAAATAGTAGGCGATGCCTTATCAATAATGAATCATAATAATCAGAAAATGCCTGTTATTGAGATAATTGACGCTAAGAATAGTATTCAAATTTCACCAGCTGATAAACTGCTGCTGACTACTGATGAAAACATGTTCCGAATTACAGCTCTGTATTTTTGATTTTAAATTTCGGGACAGAGATTTTCAGCAGAATCAATGGATTCACTGACAGTACTGTCCAGTTGAATTCGGAATATAGTCAGTCTGCTCAAAATCGGTGTTCCGAAATCTCTGTTAGGTTGATGCAAGCGTTATATCTCCTCAGATTGAGTGAAGTTTACCTATAGAGGTATTTCTGCTTGTAGATTTCTCCAGTGATCTCAACTGAACTCTTATTGTTTACTTCCAGTATTGTACTATTACTAATATACCGCACAGATTACTCCCTCCTTTCTGCGAATTAGTCTGCTATCTAATTTTGTTTTCGATGAACAGAACAGAACTCATACTGAGTACTACACCAAGAAGGTCACTTCATACTCTTCATAGTATTCGCATAATAGAAGATTGTGATATGCCGACGTTCAAGAAGAAGGCCCACCAAGATATTTTTTTCACCAAAACTCGATAGCAAATATGAATATTCAACGAGAAATTCGATCTCATCAGAAAGTCTTAGGGATGTTTCATCGTCATTTCGATTAAAGCATGTCGTCCCATCTCTGATGGAAATCGATCCTCATCTGAAACTTGCGCTAATGCTATCACGAAATCTTCACCTAGTTAAGTCAACTATTCACTTTAGAGAACGGGCTTACTCAATTCTTGTACAGGAATTGTTGAGGATAGTGTATCGTCTATGTTGTCAAGGAAAGTGGCATTATTGATTGATATTTGGCCTCGAGAGCCTGACTTGAACTTCATGAAATTAAATTTCCTTTTTAACAATCACTAATCATTATGAACTATACTGAATAACTCACTTCATTCAAAACATCAGAATTTCATTGATCCTTAATGACATCCAACATGAGCAAATATTCATTTATAATCAATCCCCCTAGCAGCAGAATTATTACCGATAATTATTTTCAAGGTCACTAATGTTTTTGTTAATATAAAATTATCGCAAGGCGAAGACGAGGAAAATTTTCTATCAACAAAAACATGAATGGAATTGAGAAAAAGAATATCGGGCATAAATTCTCCTGCGTGGGATATTCGGTAAGAAAATTTCTTAAATTGGAGATGCTTTCAATATGATGAGAAAATTACCCCTACGACCTATTCTGCGTAAATGTCAAATGAAATTTGACACTTAGATGAAACTTGTTTTCATTACTAAAATGTGAGAAACATTGAATAACAAATGTGTCTGGAATCCATTGTCTATAGTTTTGTTAAATAGGCATGATGCACTTTATTTTGACAATACAAGTTGATTTCACTTGTTAGTGACTATGGTTTAGTGATGAAATTTCAGGAACATTGGAAACATGACTTCCTCTTCAACCATAACATCTGATATTACATCTCAAATATTATCAAAAAGAGTATATTATTAAACGAGCACGGAATGATAATGATTTCCTACGAGATAGCTCATGCTGCAATCATTCGAGTAGGAAATTTGCATTTCGCTAAGCGGAGAAGACAGTCACATTTAAATTATCACAATGTCTCTGTGTCGTTCCTAACAGTCAGTCAACTAGCCTGTGCAACATAATTATTGTTCTTGATAACAACACTATATTCATAACAATTCATACCTGCTGATAGAAATGCAAATCCGACTTGGACAGCCCGACGAGCGCTGCGATGTAGGAAGCGCATGTGCCCACGCTCAGGATGATGCAGTACCGCAGTCGTATGGGCAAGGTGACATAAATCAGGTAGTCGAGGAGGAGGACCCATCCCAGACTGTCCCTGGACGTGACCTCATTCTTCTGGAGAAAGAGAGCAGCCAGCACCTGGAAAAGAATCTGCCATTAATACAATATGGTCAGACTAAGAGGAAAACCGCACAGTGCAAGGGGCTCATCCCCCACTGAGATTGCACACCTCGCCGATCTTTCAACAGACCAAATCATTGGGAAGTTCAGTTTTAAGAAGAACTTCCGAGTGGAACTGAGCAACAAACGCGAATGGAGCATAGAATCCATCGAAGCGCTGGGAAGGAACACCATAACTTGGTATACGGACGGGTCTAAAAAATCCCGAGGCAATTGGAGCAGGAGTCGTTGGGCCTCGCACCAATTACTTCTAATCCATGGGACAAATTCTCAGCATTTTTCAAGTGGAAATACACGCCATTGAAAGATGCATCTAGTTCAACCTAGACAGGAAATACCGGAAGAAGGAAATCGCGATTTTATCCGATAGCCAAGCAGCCATCAAAGCGTTGAGCTCTTCTAACATCAACTCGAAGATGGTATGGAAATGCCTGAGTAAATTGAATGAGCTAGGCAGTAGTAATGAAGTGATCCTCCTCTGGGTGCCAGGGCATATCGGAGTGGAGAAGAATGAACAAGCAGACACTCTGGCACGACAAGGGGCTTCAACGCCACTGATCGGACCAGAGCCCTTCTGCGGCCTTGAAAATTCCTATTTCTAAGGACAACTTGGGAAGGCGGAAGAAGCCTTGAGAGCCAGACAATGGAGGAGACTTCCAGGACTGTGGCACGCTAAAGATCTCCTCGGAAATTTCAACAGAGAAAGATCTAAGACACTAATAAACCTCAGCAAAGGAAGTCTCAAAGCAATAACGGGATTTCTAACGGAGCATTGCAGACTCAAAGAACACCCAAGGAACAGAAACACCCCATCACATACTGATGGAGTGTGACGCTGTACATCACAAAAGATTGGACATATTGGGAACATACCATCTGACTCTGAAAGTAATACCACAACTAGATCCCCTTAAAATCCTATAATTCCTGGAGGAATTGAATCTGGTGGGGTTGCTATGAACAAGAAGTCCTTGATATAGTGGAAGCAGATGGGGCACAATAGATCTAATTAGGTCACAGCGCATCTGTCACCATCCAACCTACCAATACCAATACCAATAGGACAATATGAACAAATCCAGTTATACAGTGACTTTCTGAAAGTTGGCATCGTATGGGAAAAACTTTCGCTACATGTCAAAAGTTACATTTCTTGAAATTCATCGCTGAAGATAGACTTATTCGTTTTAATTCCGAAATCTTTCACGAAGAGAAGTTGATACGTATATGTCTCACTATTTGAAACGATATATTGCAACTTCGGCAATGATAATAAAACTTTCAATTGAACATGTATTCATCGATAAAAATATAATCTTTCATGTATTAACCCCCGAAAAATAATTGAATATAGTGGTAGGCTTCAACATTGTGTACTATTAGTAGATTTTTACTCACCTGAGCGTTGGCTATGTGCCAGCTCACGTGGGCCACAGCTGCCCAGAGGATTTTACTTTTGAAGCCGCCCCTGCACCAGACGAAAAGGGAGGCGTTTAGGACCAGGAAGAGGCCCATGAAGCCATAGGTGAGGAAGTCCTGGCCACTGGGTACCTGAAAAATTTCGAAATCGTTAGGGTGGATGATGGAATCATGGATGCTCTTTCATCCTGAGAGAATTGTACTCTTGAAAAATCTTTAATTATGAATATAGACATTAGTTCGTCCATATTGGCCAGTCTGTACCTGCCCTGATGATATGAATTAGAGTGTCTAGACCCAGTAAGTGAAATCGAATATTTCGTCTTAGAACCTTATTGACATGTATATTATATTATTGCAACAGCAAGCACATTATTCATGTTGAGCATCAAGAAGAAAGAATAAGAAATGTATCAGGGATTTCTGGAAATGCCAAATGCGAAGCGACGCCAATATGAAAGGAAAAGAAAATGAAAGACAGCTTTGCTTGTCTCACTTCAAATGTACCCAGTCATAAAAAATAATGTTTTTTTTATCAATGATTTCTGATGATTATCTATCTCGACAATATTTTCCAAATCAGAACTGATGATTTTTTAAGCGGTTGCAGGAATGAGACAAGGCAAATGCGACACCACAAAAAGTTTCCTATTCAAATTCACTTCTTTCGAGATTGATCTCTTTGAGCGAACAAAGTACTGATCAAACTGTTCTCAAATTCAATTAAGTATACGAAAAGTTTCAGGAAGATCCGAGTATATCCCAGGCTAATTAATGATTAATGAAACTGGGAATTGCATGAAAATGAGTAATGACCTAATCATGGCTCCTTTATAACTTCTGAACTCATATTCAGGGTATTCATTGAGAATAATCATTATGACGTTATATCTTAGTTGTAAGTATGTATCAACTAAAGAAACCTTGTATGATGAGACGGATGAAAATTTGTCTACGAATGTTGTTTCACTATACATAGAGGCTGGGCACATTCTCTACACAACTTGAATATTTTCGACAATGCGATATTGCCACTTCAATTAGAAAATAGTAGCAACTTTGATTTTCAAAATGGAACACTCTATAAATAATATCATTCCTAGAATCTCCAACGAATTCCTAACGACTTTTTCTTGATATTTCCCGATACCTTTTCTGAAATACAAAATAAATTCCCTGTTTTTCATCTAAAATCATACCCTCTGATTAATATCTTTTAGGTAAAATGTACCATGATATCGAAATTTGGTTTGTAGTAGGTTATACTTGAAGCGTTTCTGCACTTCAGCCTTATCTTCGTTATTTCCATATTGGGTTGCTTGAAGAAGTGACTGAAAGTTGATTATTTCAAATGAAACACCCTATATATTATCGGAACCTTACAAGTCAAGTTTTGTACTTATGAGCCATTATTTGTGAAGATGCCCTCTCAAAATAGTACCTATGCCGATTCGGTATTTGGTAATCAAGCCATGATTACTATTTGACGGTAACGTTGTGACATTCTATTGATAATATCGACAATTTCGTCAGTTCAGAAGTTGCGAATATCTTCATAAACCATGAAACAAAATCATCGAATGTTTGAAGAGAAAGTTCACAAAATACAGGTGGAGAATTCACAATGATACTGTCGAATAGGATGCTTACCAAATACCGAATGGGAAAACCATTTTGAAAGAAAATTCAAACAAATGAATAATGCTAATTAGTCCAAAATTTAAATAGCTAGGTATAGGTCTGATATATACATAGTATAATAGCAAATTTCAGCAGCTTCTCAAATTTTCAATAATATTCAGGGTTTTTCATTTGAAATCAACTTGATTTCAGTCACTTCTTCAAGCAACAGAAATAACTGTATTGAACTACCGATAAGATTTGATTGAAGTGTGAAAATTCTCCAGGTATCACCTAACCTCAAACCAAATTACGATATCATATTACATTTTTACTAAAAAATTCAGCATTTTTACATGTCATGATTTTCGAAGGAACCTCTCATAATATTTTTTTATGTCGAAAACGGTAACAGGACGGTAATAGGAAAATATCGTCAAGACAAGTTATTAGTATATTGTTGGAGATTCCAAAAATAATGATATTCACTGGCTGTTCCATTTCAAAAATCAAATATTCTTCTAGTGCAACTGGCCACACCGCTTTATCGAAAATATTTCAAATGTGTAGGTTGTCTGGTTCACCAGAAACTACTAATATGGGTCTAATGTGCCATCCACAGTGAATGAGCCTGTATATTTCATTCCAAACAAATTTCGGATTTTGGGAAACTGAATTGAATTCCAACTCCTATGACGATGTTTCATTATTGAAATTTCTCTATAATTATTCGACGTCAGCAGGTATTTTTAAGCCCTTGGGTGGATATTCCATCAGTGTCAGATATGGAGCAAGAGAAAGATAGATGCGTAGAAAAGAGATAAAGGAAATGCCATTCTCTATACGACAGATGTGTCGTTACTTCTAATTGGCTTCCTTTCAGTTCGGATTTATTTCCACTGTCTTCATAAGCGTACAGAGTATAGATACAGGAAATATGAAACCTATTATTATTTACCATGTAATGAAGGTAACGAGATTCAATGAATGTAAAAATATACAGGACATCTCCTTCGAATTAACTGGAGGAATGGAGAAAATTGTATAGTTCAGAGAAAAAATCCTCATTATACAAGTCCTACCGATTTAAATTTTCTCAATTCAAATTCCCAGGAAATATTGATGAATGACTATTTTAACTCCTTCATTGGAGAAAATATTCCGAGAATTTCGGAGACGGCTATTTTGGAGGAATTTGTTATCAGAAATTTTGGCAGTAGATTTTTTCCATAAAGACAGATGAAATGCGGATTTTTTCATATAGCAGGTAGAAGCGTATTCTTTGATCTACATTCTCCTTCAGTTACACGTAGTTTTCACTGGACATCCTGTAATGAATCTGCTTCTATTTTGTTTCGCCAAACGAACGAAGAAAAATATCTGTTGGATTCTGCTGGTGAGTGAATAATCATCCTCCAGTGCCATCGTTTCGTTTTTCAATATCTATTTTTATATCATACCTAATTAAAAATTGATTCATGAAATGACATTAGAAAATTGTCAAATTCAATTTAATGAAATTATAGCTATTTTTTCGTGCGCGCCAATGGTTATCTCTCTCGACAGGACAGCAAAGTTCTGTAGTATCTTTTCATCAGAATCAATGGGTTGAGTTCCTGTTTCACTTTTTCATGTTGAGTATCCTCGCTTTGGTCTACTTCTAGTTCATCTCATGCTCGGCTTCAGCGCAAAAGATCCTGTTATTTGTACGTCTCAAGACTGTGTTCTAGTTTTGGACAAGCTGATTGGGCTTCTTTTCAATTTGATCATATTCGCCTAAAGCCTAGAAGTACCTGCTATCAAAGTTTCGTTGGAAACGTTCCTGCATAATTTATTACTCTATGATTCATGCATCAGGTATAATTTACCTTCAAAAGACCTGATTTTCCATAGGACTATCAGAAAGTTCATTTGATCATCAACCTGGTAGTAAAATCTGTAGTAGAAGCAAATACCTATATCACAAAGTGAGAAATTTGAGTTTTCCTGCTTTGTCTTGTATTAAAACTAAATATCTTGTGAACATAATCTTCCTTTTCTCTATTCCCTTTTCTTTCATAAAAATCGCATGAAAAATCGCAATAGTCATATCTTCATCATATAAGTACGAAATATTTTATTTCACCTAGCCGTTTCAACAATATTTGATTAACTTTATTACCTCACATTTACTCTTCAAAGGTGAGGCAGTTTTTGAACAGGTTGGGCACCATATCAGTATCAAGAAAATTGATTGTACTGAAATATCAAGGGAACAGTAGGTACCTATCTAAGTACTTTCTGATTTACTCCACGAGAAGGCACTTTATTTATGCTAACGGAGATGACTTTTCAGCAGTCAACATTTTACAAAGGTCATTTTATACCAATTTTTATATTTTGATATCAGAATTCAGTATACAATTCATGATGAATCACCATAGATAGCGATTTGCTTTAATGGTATATTTTGATGCAAGTTCTATACATCCTATTATGAAAGATTCTTCACCCTTATGAACACTCTATATATACTATATCTTTTTCGAGTAAAGGTGAATTGCCTATTGGATATTGTGTAATGAAATTCAGCATCCGAGCATGTATCTATTCCATCAAAGATTCATAAATACCTTCTGGGGAAGCACTGAATACATTTTCTGAATTGATTCGGTATATCAATTTGAACAGGATTCAGAAGTTTAATATAGGTATTAAATCACAGACCTCGAGTGTTTAGAAGATCTGGCGTTTATATAATCGCTATAAAACATAATCAGAATTTGTTCAGAACCTTTGAGGTATCATGACCTTATCTTTGAAATATATAAAATATTTATTTCCAGAGCAGAATCAATCATATTTGACAGTGCATATGGTACTTTCAAAAATAATGGTACCACTGATTGCATAAAATGACATCATCGTGAGCTTTATATGTGAAAAAAATTACCAGCTAATATAATTTTGAATTATTTCATTCATCCTAGGACGATGAAAATATGAATTGGAATATGTTATTTCAAAACACACATACTTCCTGCGCCATTTGTAATGGTGTCAATAATGGTAATGGTGTGACTGATTTGACGTATTGATCCCAACACGCCTATTGTCCTTGTACTGACCAATCACCCTGCAGAATGGCAAGGTATCAGAGAGAGATAGCTTCAGTTCAGTTCGGGACTAATACGTCACGGCACCACCTTCATATCTGGCTTTTTGAAATATAGAATGGCATATTTAACATATGATATTGATTGTATATGAGATGAAAATTCATCGATTGAAAGGGGTTTGGACGGATTTTATTACTCAGTGGTTTTCCCCATTGCCCGAATGTAGATTAGGCTGAATTCTAGAATTATTTGAAAGCTTCTTATACTCACCACTAACATGTAGATGTCGAACAATAGGGCAGTGATAAGGAAGCACTCCAGTCCCGCCCTCTTCTGTTTCACGCTGAAACTCTGATAGAGCTTTTCGAGCGAGGCGTCCGTGAAAGTATTGAACAGATAACATGTTTCCTTCATTTTTCCGGTAGACTTTTGTTCCTCCATCGTGTGGGCGTCCGATTGTCCCTCACATTTATGGAAATTTGGTGTGTTTGCCGAGGTACAACATTTTATCTCCAAAGTTGATCAATGGGATCCCTCATGGTTGGAAAAGTCCCCTATACAGGGTGATTGACCTAAGGTTGCGAATAATTAATCTGTGAGTTGTCCAACCATAATAAGTTAATATGAAAGAAATAATTATTGAAATATCCTAGCAACAAATAATGGAATTCCATAAACTATCTTCTCGTAAATGGAATGGAATATGTAATTTTGTTCGCGTTGGAACTTTTTCTTATACATTTACTGGATTCTCATGAAAATTCTATTGGTTAGTCAGGGAATAAATACAACAGTCAACATTTCTCATCTCCAAATTGAATTAATGAAAATTCTTCAATGAGAAACTTGTAAGTATGTAAATTCATTCATTTTGACTATAATAATAATAATAAATGCTTTTATTGTCTCAATGCAACAAAAAGCAGAGTTCAACTCGCCGATAAATCGACAGCTGCTCTTTCACTCAACCATAATACTGGGCCATTACCAACCTACAGGCACAAACTCGGAAATCGACAGCCCATGGCAAATCATGACCAGTTTGATGCAAAAAAAAAACGAACTCATTATATTATATGATTTTATATAAAGGATAAAAAATGTATAACTTCCTCTGAACAAGTCTATTTCGTGCTTCACATTCCAAGTGAAACAAGCGAAGATCTCGAGCCATCATAACTTTGGATGGGGTAAAACCGTTTTTCTATTGTTAACTGTTTTTTATGTTCTGGTTTTCCCACGAAAAGGGATATCCTGTAATGAACCAAGGGAAATAAGGTAGGAATTGGTGTTCTTCTAAATTTCTGGAGGTTATATACCTCGGGAAACACCTCCCTTGGCAACGTGTTCCAGAGCCTCGCTGTTCGTTTGATGAACGAGTCTTCGAAAAGAGAGGTTCTGCAGGTCTCCAAACTGACCCCGAAGAGGTGCGAGTGTTCCAGAGGTGAGTGAGTATGTGAGTGAGGCATCACCCACGAGACGAATTGCCCTTTTTTGGACAGAATCCAACAGTATACAGGGTATTTTTGGGTGCTGCACTCCAAATATGGGAACAGTATTCCCGGACAGGTCAGATCTGTGCCTTATAGATCATAAGCAGCTGACTGAAAGTGAAATAGCTCCTGGCCCGAAACAGAAAACCAAGTTTTTGGGAAGCACTTGTAGCAATAATTGATCTCACGTGATTTTCTCAAGAAAGGTTATTGCTGATAGTAATACCTAGCATCGAAACAGATGTCTTCAAAGGTATGGTTACTCCTGACAAGCTTATGTTGGGCACAGTGAGGTCGGCTTTTCTAGAGAAAAGGAATGCTTGTGTTCTGATTGCATTGAAATCTACCAAGTTATTGAATCCCCATTCGAGAATTATTGTTGCCAAGTCCATATTTATGTTGTCAATAATTCTCCCTCGTTCTTGAAAGAGAAGGTGGTATGGGGGGTACTTTCATCCGCGAAGCTGTGTACTGGGCATGAAGTTGCTTCCAACAAATCGTTGACATGGAGTAGAAATAGTGTTGGTGTTAGAAATTGCACGAATTTTGAATTTTTTTAATTATTATGAATTTTTATGACATCTGAAGTAATTTTCAAATCGATTTTACTCGAGAACGGTGCTTCTTATCGAAGTTAAACAAGAGAAACTTTTGTATGCAAAAGGCTTCGAAGTTTCATAAGTTGCGATAAAACCGCACTTGAAAAATTTCGAATGATTTTACCCCCACCCCACACAGTTTGACCCATTCTTAGATGGAAGTTTGAAATTATTATTATCGCATAATATTAGACATAAAAAGATTGTCAGACTTGCAAAATTTCATGATTCTGCTATCAACAGTTTCGAAGATATAAAATGAAAACCATCCTCACTAACTTCAAGGGGTTTTTTGATTGTAAAAAATCCGCTGGTATTTCACGCTAATTATGGTACACCCTGTATTTCTAAACTGAATATATTCACATGAAGGCTCGAAGTGGATTTTCATCTCCCAAATATTTCATCTAGGTTTATTTTTGTATTATAGTCCCATAATTCGCTATGTCCCTCGAAGGATTGGTGGATAAGGACACGCGAGGACAAGGAGGCATGCGAGCTTTTGCCGGCTAAGGGTTTATTTCTGGAGAAATGGTGGATTTCAGATAAAATATGCCAGAATCGTGCAATGTGAATGAACCGGACGCTATCGATTTTATGCCAGAAAATTAAGTTAATTCTGTTCCTTCGGTGATATCAATTCATACAGAAATCTATATGAAAAGACTCACGTTATGTTGTTGTTACACAATTGATACCAGACACTGTCTATATTTCATTGACAACCTAAAGAGAATTGGAGACTCAGTATATTCCCAGAGCCTCTGTCCATAAGCAATAAGGATTGATTTGAGAAATTTGAGAAACACAGGGTGTTCCATAATGACATCAAGAGGGCGATTTTTTGAACCATTTCAAGAACAAAACTTCATATGAACGTATGTAGTGAAAGTACTAACTTCTGAGATACAGGGTATCAAAGTTGAGAAAATACATAAATTCTTTTTGTTTGTCCACCCTGTATAGCTTTTTCATTCTGCTCTGTGACTGAAACGGTGCAAAAATTTCAAGATTGAACATATTGGGTCTATCGAGCTTAGCATTCACATCAAAATTTGAATTCTCATCTCGTTTTTTCGTTTCCTCTCGGAAATGGAGCATCCTATCTGGTATCAACAATAGCAATTGATTGAATTTGGAAATATTTTCTTGTTGCTCACTTTTAAGTAGAATATAAAAAATCATAACCTCCTTATATGTACCAAATTTCATGAAGATGTCTACAATATTATCCCAGTTATTATTAAAGAACTGATTTCTTTTCAGAACCCTGTATCTCAAGAGTTAAGACTTTTAGGACATAGGTACGTTCATAGAAAGTTGTTTCCTTAAAATGAGCCAAAGAATCACCCCCTTGAATATTAGCATGTCTTAAAGGAGAACCCTATATAACCGTCAAGAAAACAGACCTGAATATTATTAAATTCTGGCGGAGGCATCAGTCTTACGCCTCTGAAGATTGAATAGATTTCTCTGGATCACAATTCGATTCGTACAAAACCACAAAATATTTTTTTTTTCATTCATACCTCTGTTTAATATATTTTCTCTATCAGTTCTCCAATCATTAGACTGAATAGTGTACAAAGAATTTTTGTGTGGTCAAAAATACTGATAGTTTGGTAATTTGAACAATTTGGAATCTTCACGACAGGTTCAACGTTCCTGTGTTCTCATTGTAGACTTTATTACTGAATTCATAACAAATGCTCTGAAACCGTTCGTGATTGAGATACAGGGCATCGATATTCAAATTATTTCAATGATAATCTTGAATATTTCAATAGAATTATACATAAAACTATAATATTTTGTACGTTACAGCTGGAATCAACTTACAGGGTGGTTCTGTTTCTACCACTCTAAACCTACATTTTGAGTCAATTAATTATTCTTGATAGAACGTTTTGTGTCCAAGAAACTTCATAGAATTCCATTTACATGATTGTGTCGACCACTTTATTTTGGAAATGTCTCGATCAGACATGGAATGAAGTTTTCCACTGTGGGGAGAAACTTTCCATATAAACAGCGTCAGTCGATTGATTAACCCAAACCGGCTTTTTCACCGCAATAAAGTGCTTTATATACAACCATGTCAAATAACTCGGTTTATTTGATGGCATTCCATTATACATATTGTGTAGGTCACTTTGCAGTCGATGACAGATTATACTCGTTCTTTATTGACATACAAAATCAACTGAATCAAGTCTGATCGAGTATTCAGTTTGTGCATATAAATATAGAACCTAGAATGTCTAGTGAATTATGAATTTTTTTTTGTTCTGGTTCCCACGAAAAGGGATATCTTGTAATGTTCAGAGAACCAAGGGAAATGAGGTAGAAATTGGTGTTCTCCTTGAATTTCCTCCCTTGGCAATGTGTTCCAGAGCCTCGCTGTTCATTGGATGAACGAGTCTTTGTAAAGAGATGTTCTGCAAGTCTCCAAAGTGAGCACGAAGGGGTGCGAAGCCTCACCCCGATGATGGGTTAATCTCGCGGGGACTGCCAAGACAGGAACAATTCGGGAACAATTGTTGATATTTCAGGAGAGCATCGTCCATGAAAATATCTATAAAATAGAGCCAGATCGCCAACTTTCCTACGGTGTTCCAGAGAAGTGAGTGAATTTGTGAACGAGGCATCACTAACGAGACGAATTACCCTTTTTTGGGCAGAATTCAACAGTTTCAGAGTATGTTTGGGTGCTACACTCCAAATATGGGAACAGTATTCCAGGACAGGTCGGATCTGTGCCTTATAGATCATAAGCAGCTGACTGGAAGTGAAATAGCTCCTGGCCCGAAACAGAAAATCATGTTTTTGTGGTACACTTTTAGCAATTGATCTCACGTGATTTTCCTAAGAAAGGTTATTGCTGATAGTAATCCCAAGCATCGAAATGGATGTCTTCAAAGCTATGGTTACTCCTGACAAGCTTATGTTAGGCACAGTGAGGCATGCTTGTGTCCTCTATTAGAATTTCATCAGTAACTTCATCAGCATATATTTTATTCACGAATTGAATATTTCAAAGTTTCGATCGGTTTCGAACAGTGCTGCTCCTAAAGTGGTGCATGGAGTTAGTAACAAAGCCTACACAGAACACGCAGAAAGAAATGATGATGTGTTTGTGAGCATCAGAGAAGAAGTAGGTATGTAGGGGGGTGTGGAAAACTACCAGCTGAGCGTGAGAGTGGGCCACTGCTGCTTAGTGGACCTTGGTCTCTAAGGAGGGTTAACGAGAATAGCAAGCAGGCCTTACACTGCAGCATATGGTAGTGAGTATATTACCAGCCTACAAAACACGGCCGAAAAACTCTGAAAGAGAGCTGATGGACGGTGCATGAAAAGGATGTTAGCCAGCTCTCAAGCGAACCACATCACTCATTGAAAACACCTTGGGGCTTGCGAAAAGGTCCCATTAGGGACTAGTTGCTGACATGCAAACGTTCCTCACCAGTGCTAGTACCAGTT